GTACCCCTGTCCTCTGCCCTGCAGGAGGAGAAGAGGGAGGAGGTCAGGGATTGGGTGCTCACCATGTCCATGGACCAGCGGCTGGAGCAGGTGCTGCCGCAGGACGAGCGTGACACATACGAAGCCTCCTTGGTGGCTGCAGGCACAGGGGTGCACTCCCTGCCCTGTGTGCTTACAGGTAAGCTCTGGGCCAGCTCACAGCTGCACGGGGAGTTGGAGCACTTTGCACCTTGTTTTGAGAGGGGTCAGGCAGCACTGTAAGAGGAGCAGGGCAGCTATGTGGCTGCCTTCTACAAAAGTGCCCCGCTGTGAGGAACTGCGCACGGCAGGGAGGGATGCGCGAGGCAGGAGGGCTGCTGTGGGGCTTGGCTGGTTGGTGAGGCTGTCACTGTGTGCCCAGGGTACCCCGTGCTAAGGAACAAGATCGAGTTCAAGCGGCCGGGCCGAGAAGCCAACAAGGACACGTGGAACAAGTTCCTGATGGCTGTCAAGGTGAGCCAGGCACTCATTCCCCCATGCTGATAATTAATCATTGTCCCACTGGTGGAGCTACACCAACCCAGGGCCATTTCATTGTACCTCCACTGAATTAATCTCACCGTACCGGGGCACAATACGCCTTGCAGGTGCAGCTCTGCCAGTTCCCAGGTGCCAGTAGGGAGAAGGCAGTCACACTTCCCCCTCTTCTACTCTGCAGACATCCCACAGCCCTGCATGCCAAGATGTGCTCAAGTTCCTCAGCCAGTGGTGTGGGGGGCTCCCAAGCACCAGCTTCTCCTTCCAGTGAGACCAACCATCCTGTTCCTCAGCCCCCTCTGCTTCTACCCTCCAATAAACACATCTCAACCCTTCTGTGCTCCCGTTTGTCAGGGGATGCAGTGCCCAGGGATGTGTAGTTCCTGGAGGACAGAGCCATAGCCCTTCCTCTCACTTCCTTGCCCCTTGACATGACTGCTAACCACGCAGCCTCCATGCTGAGGGGTGAAGCATCACACTGCAGCCTGTTCTGGGAGGCTGGGAGGAAAGGCTGATACACACCTTGCACTGTCCTTCGAGGAGCAGACCCAGCTTCCTGCAAGCATCCACAACGGGGAAACTGCAGCCAGTGTAAAAACGAAAACTTTTATTTACTCAAAGAAACAATGGAGGTTTACAAGAAAGGGGTTCTTCATCTTCTGTTCATCAGCCTGCTTCTGAGCCCCAGCTCTGCATGTGGAGCACCAGCACCAAGGCCAACCACAGCCATTGCCAGGCCTCGGCACTTCTTCTTGCCCCCACCCTGTCCCTCTACCTCCCCACAGCTGTGCGTGTAAAGAGATTGACACAGCTTTCGGCGCATCAGGAGGATCCTTATGGCCCAGGAAGGGAGGATAGGGAGGGGTTTCATGAAACACAGCACATGCTGGGTGAAGGCTGCTGGTGCTTCTGGGCAGTCGATGCCTGGGACCAGCAGGGTTTATCCCAGGGAGGATGGTGGGGTCGTGGGGAGGAGCACAGCCCCATGCTACCTGCAGCAGGTGCAGCATCACCCCACTGTATGACAGCACTCGTGCAGCACCACCTGCAGGGAGAGAGAGTAGATGTGTTGCAGCCCGTGACCTCCCTGCACTGCAGGGCCGTGCCCACACCACTGCACTCACCTCTCCACTATGCACAGGTCTCAGCCAGCCCCACCAGCAGCTGCCTCTCCTTCACCGTACCTGGCCTGGCCATCTGGAAGAAAAGAGGTGGAGGGCTGCAAAGGAATGCACTAACGGGGTGCAGGGAGTGCTGAGGTGGGGCAGGGAGCCCTCAGCCCAGTTGGGAGAGCCAGCAGTAACAGTAGGTCAGACAGGGATGCCTGTGTGCACGGTTAGGACGTACCTGGTCCTTGCTGTAGCCACGTGCACAAGGGCCGATGCCCTGCAGGACCAGGGCTGCCAAAGAGCACCTTCCAGCCAGCACAGCTTCTGCAGCTGCCAGCAGCACAGAGGGGAACCAGAGCGCCAGGGCCGTGTCCTGCAGAGCAGAAAGTGAGGGGTTTTTGGGGGGCACAGACAGCAGCGCCCACCCAGAGCTGAGAGGGGCCCATTCAGACCAACGGGGGCCGGGATGGAGGGAAGAGAAAGAGAAAAAAGGCAGAACATTGAGAAAGCAGAAGCAAAGGAGAGGGCCGAGCATCAGGCCCACAGGTACTCACATAGATGCGCGTGGTGTTGAAGGGACAGTCGTTGGTGGCTATGGCTGCGCGGGCATCAGCCGGCAGCGCGGGGCTGTTGCAGCCGGTGACCAGGCGCATCCCACGGCTGTGGATGGTGAGCGCGATGGCCAGCGCCAAGCCCACGCTGCAGGCTGCAGACAGCAGACAGTTCAGCAGGGATACGCCCAGCAGGGCCCAGTGCTGCCAGCATAAGGAGAGCGCGTGAGAGCGGGACCAGCCACAGCTGGGGTAAGGCGTGGGGTTGGGCACAGCGTGGCTCTGCATGGGGTCACTGGGAACCCTGCAGAGGTTTCTGCTAGGCAGATACATGCTGTGCACACCCCCGGCTCTTGGTGTGCTTCAGCCATCCCCTGGGCTGTGCCTCACAGAATCACAGAATGGCCAGGGTTGGAAGGGACCTCAAGGATGATGAAGCTCCAACCCCCTGCCACATGCAGGGCCACCAACCTCCACATTTCATAGCAGCCCAGGCTGCCCAGGGCCCCATCCAACCTGGCCTTGAACACCTCCAGGGATGGACGGGGCATCCACAGCCTCTCTGGGCAGCTGTTCCAGCACCTCACCACTCTCTCTGTAAAGAACTTCCCCTGACATCCAACCTAAACCTTCCCTCCCTCAACTTCAAACCATTTCCCCTTGTCCTGCTGTTATCTGCCCTTGCAAAGAGTCGATTCTCCTCTTGTTTGTAGGCTTCCTTTAGATACTGCCAGGCTGCACTGAGGTCACCCACAGCCTTCTTTTCTCCAGGCTGAACAAGCCCAGCTCCCTCAGCCTGTCTTTGTAGGGGAGGTGCTCCAGTGCTTTGATCATCTTTGTGGCTCCTCTGGACCCTCTCCAGCAGCTCCCTGTCTTTCTTGTACTGGGGGCTCCAGACCTGGATGCAGTACTCCAGATGGGGCCTCACAAGCACAGAGTTGATGGGGACAATCAGCTCCCTGTCCCTGCTGGCCACCCCTCTGCTGATGAAGATCTGATGCCTCACCACTGCTTCACCTCACCCGCAGAACCATAGAATGGCCTGGGTTGCAAAGGAGCACAATGCTCATCCAGTTCCAACCCCCTGCTGTGTGCGGGTCACCAACCAGCAGCCCAGGCTGCCCAGAGCCACATCCAGCCTGGCCTTGAATGCCTGCAGGGATGGGGCATCCACAGCCTCCTTGGGCAACCTGTTCCACTGCCTCACCACCCTCTGTGTGAACAACTTCCTCCTAATATCTAATCTAAACCTCCCCTATCTCAGTTTAAAACCATTCCCCCTATGCTACAGATGCAAAGCCACAGACCACAGAGGCTCCCCCCGGCAGCAATGCCTCACACACCCCTGCCCTGTGAGACATCAGACATAGGGCTGCAGCTTTACCCGTTAATTGGAACATTTCTGCCCAAAGAAGCTGCCCAGAGCCCAGGCTGCTGCCCACCCTCCTCCAGCACCATGAGCTGCCACGGCCCGAGCAGCAGAGGCGGAAGGAGCTGCTGGGTCCAAGGTCCAAGGGAGCGGCTGCCCAGAGCACACGGAGTCACGCTGAGGCCCCCGCACAGCTCCATCCCCCCCATCTCCCACCCCAGCAGCCCCGCACTCACCAGGACAGCCCGGGAAAGGTTGCGCGACACCACGATGGCAACGATGCCCACAGCGATGTTCTGCGAGGAAGAGATCCTCGCTCAGCACAACACAGCAGCCTCACCCGCCCCCACCCCCTCTGGCCCAGCATGGGGTCCATCTGCACCGCACAGCTCTCACCAGCAGCCCGGACACCACAGACACGACGTTGGCCACCGCGTACTCAGGGGTGACGGCACCCTTGGTCCTGGAGACGTGCCGCAGGACGGAGCCGTGCACGATGGCTCCCAGCACCAGGGTGCTGTGGCCCAGCACGATGAGACCCAGCCCAGCACGCATCAGGCGCTGCGGCTCAGCCAGGGGCCCCGGCCACCATCGCCCCGCACGCCTGCCCGCCATGGCCGCCAGCAGCAGCAGGAGCAGGCCGCTCGCAGCTGGAGCCGCCCCGAGGCGGAGCCCCACTCCTCCCAGGCCCGGAAAGAGGCAGCACTCGGGTATTTACAAAACAGTTTATTAAAAATAGGAAATGATAGAAATGAGATGCGGGAGCAGCGCCGCGTTCAGCCCCAAAGACGCATGCAGGGCTGTGGGCTCAGCTCCTCCGAGCACCCTCAGATAGAAAGGAGATGCAGAGGGAGCTGAGCGCTGGAGCACCCGGTGGCCCAGCAGAGCCCAGGCCAACAACAGCACGGGGCTCCAGGCTGCCTGCCAGAGGCCCCGAGCACACAGGGGGCCCGCGGCAGCACGCAGCAGCAGGGCAGGAGGGCCAAGCTCGGCTCCAGGATGCTGCAGCAGGGGACACAGCCCAGGGGAGCACACGCTGCAGCCCTGCACCTGCAGCGCAGGCCGACGTGCAGAGCTGCGGGGCTGTGCAAAACGAGTAAACAAAGTGCAGCCAAAGGGGAGCGGAGAGGCGAAGGGCCAGGCTGGTGCTGGATCCCTCTGCCCAGGGACGAGGCTCGTGACTGCTGCCACAGGCGGTTGCAGAGTTGGGGGGGATACAGAGGGGGAACAGGGCCTCCGGGCCCCCCTCTGCATCCCTAAAATAAAAAAAAAAAAAAAAAAAAAAAAAAAGAAAACGAAAAAACCATTTCTGTGCTGTGCAAAAAGACACTTTGTACAATCCAAACAGAACAAATTCCATGCACATGAACGGGGCTACAGAACACCCCGAGCCAGGACCTGGCTCCCCAGCACCACCTGGCAAAATCCCAACAAAAACAGGGCTGGAAATAATACTGATGCGCAAAGTCCCCTTTAATAGGCGGGCAGGGAGGATTGTTGCTGGGCCCAGCCACAGCACATGCAGGATGAGCTTCCAAGCACTGCAGCTGGGGGCTTGCTGATGCCCTACGGTGATGGACAGACACAGAAGGGGTCACAGGCAACAAAGCTGCACCGGCCGCCCTGGAGCCAAGGGATGCTACGATGACACCGTCACTGCCGTCAGAGCTCCGTTCCGGGTGTAGTAGAACTTGCTGAATGCCTCTTCAAGTAAACAGGTAAGTCTGCTCTGGTCAGCCTGGGGGAACAAGTCAGAGTGAGGGGTGGTGCGAAGCCAAAAGCTTGCTTAAAACCTGCCCATGGCCATGTGCATGGCAGGAACACGTGCTACTTCTCCTACCTTCCCAGGCAGACAAGGACAATAAAGCCTGAGAAAGGAATGCAGAGCTACGTCCCTGCTCGAGACTCGAAGCTGCTCACCTCACTGATGAATCCAAGCTGGACCAATTCAGCTGCCAGTTCTTGGATATTATCATCTGCAACACAGGGAAGCGTGTAAATCCCACACCCAGACTGCACTGCTGACTCCAGTGCATGAGAATACAGGAGGAGAGGCACTTACTGGGCTGCAGGTCACAACTCAAGTGTCGATTCAACTTGTCTTCCAGTTTCAGCAGCAGTGTTAACTGCAGGGTAGAGAAGCTCTCGTGAGCATGCGCAATTTGACAGGCTGCCACAGTACAGGCAGCAGCCAACACAGCTAGGAATGTTCCCCCAGATCCCCACTGGGATAGGAATCACCCTCTCCCTGCCCCTGCAGAGTTCCACTGGAGTCTAAGAGGAAAAAACACACCCAATTCTATTACTCCCAACCCTTGCCAGCAGCACAACCACGTGGAAGGAATGCTCTAAGGCTGTATCTGGAGGATAAGCCATAAATGCTAGCTAAGCAGCAGGCCATCTATAGGCACGGGCTGTAGATGTCACTGTTCATCACAGGACGACGTGACCTTTAAGGGACTCTTCCAACCCAAGCTGGGCCTCAATCTGGCTTTGTGCCCCAAGAACTGCAGCTCTGGCAGCAGCACATCACACCAGACCCCAGCAGCACATCAGCACAGTGATGCCACGTGCTCAGCACCCCCTCCACACACACACAGAACACTCAGCCAGAAGGTGGGACCATACATGGTGCTTCACTCCCTCCTCTACTGACTCAATGTTGCACTGCATCAGCACCACCTGAAAGAGAAGCACAGACGCCCCCGTGAGCCACTGCTGCTCAGAGCACAGCTGCACAGGGAGGAGTGGAGGTGCCATGTCTCACCTTGCGGGTTTCCACCTCTGCCGGCTCTGGAGTTGGGGTTTTTACTGATGGTGGAGCAATGGGAGACTTCACCACCACCTGCTGGGGCTGCTGAGGTCGTGGCATCCCAAAAGCTGTGAGTGGGTAGATACCATTCCTACAAAGAATCCGGATCTGAGGTTATGCCTCTCCTGAAAAATCACTCCAGTCTCACACACAGTTAAAGAGGTACTTAAAAACAAACACACGCTATTCCAAAAATCCAACCAACACACCAAGAAATGACCTCTGTTACCTTACGTCCTCCAGGAACTTGTCCAGCTCCAGTGCTGGAGACTGTGAGAATCTGGAGGGAAAGAAGTATTGCAGTCAGAAGCCATTAGCAGAACCACATTACCATCCACTCAAGTCTGTTTGGATGCAGTTTCAAATCTCCGTATCCCAGATTGCAGCCACATAAGCAGGCAGGGTAAGTACAGTCAGAGTGAGATGTACTGCACTCTTCCCACAGCAGCTCCCAGAAGCTAACAGCAAGGCTACAATTTAACAGTGGCAGAAGCAGGCAGCACTTCCCTTTAGAGAGCTGTCCAGTGCAAATAACTGTTTGGAAATTGCTTCCCCAAATTGTTCTGGCCAGATTTTACTACAAATTGCTCCAGCAACAGTGTGCCCATTTCCCTCCCATCAGCTTGGGAGGAAGGCAGATCTGAGCTGCGTGGAGTCTGTCTGTGCAAGTTCTTCTCCCACTGGGCAGACAGCAGCAAGAAATCCTCCAGCATCACCCAGTGCCCACGCAGACCCCTCTGAGCACACCAAGGGTTACTCACATCATTTTGACTCCTTCCCTGTCCGCATGGTTGATCTCTGCCAACACGGCACTCATGTCGAGGTTTTTGGTCATTTCTTCTAAAGCGTTTTCAGGAATCATATCTATTAAAAAACAGAAAGTTAAGACCTGAACAACCACATTTCTCTTCCACACTAAGAAGAAAAAAACCTAGAGAGTCGCAGCGGTAACTCAGCAAAGCTGTAGGTAACAGCGCGGCACCCTGGCACACCGTACTCACGCTGATGGCCGACGATGCAGTGAGCAGCAAGCAGCTTTAATGATGGCACCTCAAACAATGCCTGATGAAAAAGGAGCTCCCGGGCTGTAGGACGTTTGCCTGGGTCCTGTTCTAGACACTTCTGAATGAACTCCTACGAGACAAAGACAGAATGAGGCCACGCACAAGGCCCGCAGGTCCATGTGGGCGCTGACCCCTCTGCACTCACCCTCTGCAAGGGGTCCTCCAGCAGCTGGATGGCACTGTTAATGGCCTCCTGGGGCACGTAAGATGACTCTCCATTACCCTGTATTTCCAGCACTGCCATCTGCAAGCACAAAGCAGCACGTTGGACTTCACTAAGAAGTGATTAAGATCACTGCTGGCAAGTATGAGATCATACCAACCAAGCTGATTGGTGTTACTTAAGGTGACGGTTTGTGGAGGCAGAGAGAATAACTGCTCCATTATGATAGCTTGGTTCCAGCACCTTGACAGATTGCCAAGAAGTCCTTAAAACTATGCCAGCACCTCCTCAGACAGTTAGACTCTCTATTTTGAATTTCATGGTCCATTGGCCTGTAGTTCTGCTTGACAATTCCCATCCTCTAATGAAGCAGTAAATGGATTGCTGCCAGAACCTGGCAGTGCCCTCCTGGCTGTATGAATAGCTCTGTTTTACAAGCAGAAAAGCAAACACACACAATGCCATCCAGAACTCACTCCAGCCAACACATCCACAAGTTTCCAATAGGGAAAAGGTAGCAGAAGATTCCAGAGGATGTCTGAAGATTCAGCAAGGCAAAGTGCCTTTGTCTCAGAGAATAAAAAGCTCCTGTTACCAAACTAACACACCCATAACCACAGCGACTCCAAACAGCCACGTCCTTCCCTTGAATTTATTCTCCTTGTCCCATAATCAGAGTATTCCCAACTCACCTCCAGGGCACACATCCCAAAGGAATAAATATCCACAGCAGTGGTAACATTGGCAACTTCTGTAACACAGAAACAACACCGCTGTCAGTCTCTTCCTGCACCCAGCAGCAGGACAACCTCTGTATCGAGCTGTGACAACCTGCAGCCTTCTCTCCCTCCTGTGCTATCAGAAGGCAAAAGGAGTTGGAACAATTAAACTGGCAAATAACACAGAAACTGATAATGGGACATTGCTTATAAGACTGCAGCTGAAAACAAGGTGCACAACAGCCTGGGAGCCTCAGTGAGGCAGAGAGAATGTCAAGCAGAGAATGGCACACCGTACCTCCATATTCCGGAGCAAAGAAGTGCAGGTTCTTCTGCTCCTCCCGACACGTCTTCACGTGGTTGTTTATCGTGTCTGGTGCCACTAGAAGAAAGCAACGAATGCTTAGGATGCAGGACATCTCAGCCCATCCCCAGACGTGTCCTAAGGAATGCCCTGTTGAAATGCAAGCCTTGAAAGGACCTCACTTAAATCAGATTTGTTGTAAGCAACCCAGCTGTAACAAAAGCCCTACGAGCAGCCAGGATCACTGCAGTTACAGTCACTACCTCAGGGCACCAGGAAAAGAACAGGTCTACGAGGCAGCTTTTCCCAGCTGACCCTTCCACACGTCAGCAGGACACCAGAGCCAAGGTTCCTCAAGAGGAAAGTCATGCAGAGCTGCTGAATGAGACCTGACCATCCTGACAGCACAGGACTCCAGCAGCCAGCCCCTGCATGGCCCCAGAGGTGAAGGAAGGGAGGGAGTAACTCCCAGCAACAAGAAAGAGGAGCAGAACACAAGAATGGACCCTCATTTTTGCTTGCAGTTTTTTTTTTGCTTACTCTGCTCTACAGATACCAACAGGTTTCAGCTTCACAGGATTAAGAAAAATGAGTTAAAATTCTTGGTCTTCCTTTTAAAACCTGCTCTGCATTTTCCCAACAACACTGCTCTAGATGAGCAGGGCCACAGAGCCCAGACCCTCTTTAACTCCCAAATGATGAGCTCTGGGCTTCTGTATTTTACACTACTGACCCACCTGCCCCTGCAATTGGCCCAGTCACAGAACAAATCACAGAATCATAGACTGGCCTGGGTTGCAAAGGCCCACAGTGCTCATCCAGTTCCAACCCCCTGCTGTGTGCAGGTCACCAACCAGCAGCCCAGGCTGCCCAGAGCCACATCCAGCCTGGCCTTGAATGCCTGCAGGGATGGGGCATCCACAGCCTCCTTAGGCAAAATCCTCTAACTGCAGTCAGAAATGTGATGTGGCTGCAGAGACACAGCCAGCAGAGTGCTGTGAAAACTTGGAGTGAAGGATAAAAGTTTTCCACCAAGTCAGGCTGGCAGTGCCAGGGAGATTCTGGCACCCGAGGCTCGGGCTGTAACCAAGTCAGAGCACCTCAGTGACCCCTACTATGCTCTGTATACAAGAGCTCTTACTTTGTCTGTTTTCATACAACCCTACTGCAAGGAAGCTGTTTTAGCAGGGGGTTGGACTTGACCCCAGAAATCCCCTCCAACCCTTATAATTCTGTGACAGTGTTGAAGGAATTCAGTGCATAGAATCACTCAGGTCATCTCAAGTCAACACCAGTCCATCAGCCAGACCCACCGAGTCCTAATACACAACCTGAACCTTCCCTGGCACAACCTGAGGCCACTTCATGTCCTAGCTCTTATCAACTGAGAAAAGGAGACCTACACCTCCTTGTTGCAACCTTCTTTCAGGTCATCACTGAGCACAGTGAGGTCTCCCCTCAGCCTCCCTTTCTCCAAACTGAAGAACCCCACTTCCACCAAGCAGACAGGCCATCAAGCATTGAACCTATGTCCTCAGACAAGAAATCTGGTGTGTTATTAACCCAGGGAACACCTCCCTGCCAAAAGTGGAGCAGAATCAGCCACATACAAAGCATTTTTCTAAACAATCCTCAGATTAGCTTCATTTTCTTGTTTCTGTTGCCTGGGTGGAAAGGGACAGTCATCCACCCAGCCATCCCATCCCTCGTTCCTAGGCAATAGATAAGAGGGAGGAAGAGGCAGGGATCAATCACCAAAAAAGGCATTAACAACAGAAGACTTAACCAGTGATGTAATGCAGGCACTCTCACATGAGAAAAGCAAGTTTCAGTGGAGCTCAACCTGTCCCAATAATCACAGAATCACTCAGGTTAGAAGAGACCTTCAAGATCCTCAGGCCCAACCATCCACAGAACACTCCAAGCCACCACTAAAGCACATCCTTCAGCCCCACAGTACAGGAGGCATTCCCAGGAACTGTGATTCCATGTCAGTAGAGTAAAGTTTGGGGGAAAAAAAAAGGTAGAGGCTGTCTGTTAATACAGCTTGTGACAGTACTTCAGAAGCTGGGGCAACAAGCTCTGGGTTTCAGTCGAGTCATTACTGCATGACCATCAGCTTGGTAGATAAACAACTCAGCACAGATGAGAATGCTTGAGAAGGGCTTCAGCTGTATAAAACACTCACAGCCTAGAAGATATGAGTACAGACTTTAAGACACCTCTGATACAAGCTCTTAGAACGATTTCCACATCATTTCGACTGCCACCCACTGCAATATAAAGTGATGACTTCATTATGTCAAGAATCAGATGCATGATGGCTAGGGAAAAATCACAATAAGGAAGCCAAACAATGAAGGTCAAAAATGAAAGTCAGATCACAACAATGAGTGTGCCTTTCTCAGTCACAAAGAAGGGGAAGGCAGTGAAGAACAGACTGTAAGACAGTGCCACACACAACTAATCAGTGTGGCAGGGAATCAGTGAAGCAGAAAATTGATTTTAGAGAAGGATTCAGCCAAATATGGTGCCCATGAAGAGCAGGTGATAAGAAGAGACATCAAGTGCAGTAGAAAGCAGAACGAGCAACTTGTTTTTGGCAAGCTGAGATCAATCTAACAAGAAAAATGGAATAATATGCATTACTGCAGGGACACACAGAGCTTGCTAGACCTGTCAGACCCTCAAGGATAAGCTACTGTGAACATCTCTTCACAGGCAGCTCATCAGAAAGCCAGGAGTGCCAGCCAACGACTCACTTGGTGGTATTACTGCCCAGCTGTCACCAATGTCAAGCTGCAGATGCCCAGTCTCACAGTGAACTGCCTTTTTAAGCACTACATGCTGCAGAAGACATTTTCTTCTGGCCATGAATATAGCTCACACCCACTTGTCCTGCATTCACCCCTTCCTTCTTGCACCTAGGGAAGAATCTGCTCAGCTGCCCTTCCTTTCCCTTTCAAAAATACAGGGGTTGGAGGAAGAACTGAGCCACCACCCAGATGTCAGCTGCATACATCTAAGTATCCTCTGAAACAGGAATGTTATCCCACTATTGCAGCAAAGTGCTCAAGTACACAGCACTCCAGACTGCAGCAGGCTGAGGAAGCAAAAGAAAACAAGATGATATCCAGAAGGACCAACTACTAACCTTTCAGACAAGGCACAGGCTTGCTAAGCAACCCAGTGTCAGAGGATACAACCTTACCTTCGTCACATTGCATCACAGGGACTCAAAATCTTCAAGTGAACTTGAGAGCATCTGTTTGCAACTATAAGGGATGGTGACAGGGCCAGGATGGGAATCAGAATGTGTTACATTCTCCTTCACTGCTGCAAAAAGCTACCAGGCTACAGAAAACTGCACTTTGCCTTTCACTTCAGTGGTACACTAAGATGACAAATGTGTTTTTATTAGGGAGGACACAAACCAGAGCAGATGGGAACGATGGCACCCCTCACCTACTGGTGGCAGTCCTCTTCATGCAGCCCAGGATACCACTGGCCTTCCTTACTGCAAGAGTGTCAGCGCATGGATGCTGGAAGTTCATCCAGCTCTGGAGTAAGAAGCATTCACTGAACTGCCATGTCTGACTACATCCAGTCAATGGAGGTAGAAAGTGAAAGCTGCCAGAACAGAAAACGCAGAACAGTAGGCACAGAACTGATAAGGAAGGTCTGAAAGATGAATACTTGACCGACAGCTGCCTGCATGCAGGCTCTGAAGCAGGTACTTAAAAGCTGATTAGCATTTCATCTGAAGAAGTGTATGGACTTTTCTAAAATACTTATTTTCCACGTGCCTTCAAAGGGCTCCAAAAAGAAGCTGTGTGCAACTGCTGCACCCACACTAAGATGGGTCGACAAAGACCTGACTGACTGTAAAATGCAAAAGCCTATTTGACAGGCCTTCCACTTCCACCACTGCTGACTGATGGTTGATATGCTCCCAAACCATTCAGCAGAAACAAGTTCTAACAACCCTGATGGCAAAAATAATATAAATTCAATACTTTGAATTTAGGTACAGATATCTATTTAATGGGGTTATAAATTTCAGCACTCAAATCTTCCTTCAGTCTCTGCAACCCAACACCCTCCTCACACGCCCAGGTTTCTCCAAGAATCAGAGCTCTCTCTGGGGAAACCAACAGGGAACCTCATGTCACAACCAGGGGCTCGTTGGGGTGGCAGATCTCCGGCCACCAGGAGCCAGGCATCTCAGTGAAACATTTGTCTTAAAAACAAAACAGCTAAGGAGTTAGAACTACAAGCAAGCAATTGGATATCCAAGCACAAAGCAAAGGCCAGCCCAGGTCGGGCGCTCAGCCAAGTCTAGCAGAGCAGTAGCAGGAAACAGCCTAATGTTGGTGGCAAGTTCAGCCAGGAGAGCTCAGAAGAATGCATCCCATTGGCTTGACATGCAGGAGCCAGCATGCACTAGGGTCCATGGACTAGCAGCTAAGAAGGAGGAGAGGAAGAGAACTAACAACCAGGAGACTTCACAAAGGGCAGTGCTCCCTCTCTGTAAGGCTCAGGGTGAGAGGAACTGTTTCCATCCCAGCACAAAGCACGTGGTCTCAAAGTAGGAGACACCTAAGCCAAACTGCTGTACACGTCAGCCTTATAGCAAGGGAACACTGTAAATAAAGTATAATGTGTGTAGTACAGATATATATATACGTATATACACACATATATAAATATATATATACATACACACAAGTCATGTACGTTACATATAGAGTGGCAGTCACATCACAGGAGTGGAGAAGTTTGCTCACCATTAGCAAATATCCTATGAAAGACTGTTGGTAACAGAGCAGCCCGTGAGCGGGGAGTAAAACAAGATAGAAGTCAATGAGTTGATGAAACAGCAAGCACTTCACATTGATACAGACAGCTAGGTCAGAGTCATTGCAAAACACAGACAGCTTCTGTCAAGTAGGAAATCACAGCTAAGGTAAAGTTGGAAGTTCTGTCTTTTCTGTGGGTGCTCTCTGCCCCTGTTCACCTCTTACTGGCTCTTACACTCCCAAAGATAAGAGATACAGCTCAGCACCATTAACACGAGCAAAAAGCAGCATCAGACATCCTGCCCAAACACACACCTGTTCCCCGGCACTCAATGCTTTTGACCTGTTGCAGTGAAACACCCTGCAGTGTGCTCCCTTCACAGGCCCAATGGCTGGGCTAGCAAGGTTTGCACAGATGCAGTACGGTCCTTCACGTGGATCCCACAGGAGAGTGCACAGAAAGCAATGCATCTCACAAGGAATATTTTCATCTGACCACAACTCAGGAAGAAATCAAAAAAAGAATGGCCAGGGTTGGAAGGGACCTCAAGGATCACAGAGCTCCAACCCCCTGCCACATGCAGGGCCACCAACCTCCACATTTCATACCAGCCCAGGCTGCCCAGGGCCCCATCCAACCTGGCCTTAAACACCTCCAGGGATGGACGGGGCATCCACAGCCTCTCTGGGCAGCTGTTCCAGCACCTCACCACTCTCTCTGTAAAGAACTTCCCCTGACATCCAACCTAAAGCTTCCCTCCCTCAACTTCAAATCATTTCCCCTTGTCCTGCAGTTATCTCCCCTTTCAGAGAGTCGATTCCCCTCCTGTTTGTAGGCTCCCTTTAGTTACTGCCAGGCTGCACTGAGGTCACCCTGCAGCCTTCTTTTCTCCAGGCTGAACAAGCCCAGCTCCCTCAGCCTGTCTTCGTAGGGAGGTGCTCCATCCCCCTGATCATCTTTGTGGCTCTCTTCTGGATCCTCTCCAACAGCTCCCTGTCTTTCTTGTACTGGGAGCCACAAAAAGCATTCCTATCTCCAGAACACCAGCGACAAGGTATTCCCCATCCCCACCACAAGCTCTTAAAGACACTCTGCTCATCTGAGGCTTTCTCCTTAGCTCTACTAACCTTGCACTTCAGGCTATGAGAATAAGTGGTCTGTAAACAAATGGCTCATTGACGGCTTTGCATTGAGCAGCACAAGGCATCCTCTCTCTTTCCAACTCTTTATTCCCCAGATGACTCCCAGCACATAAAGATTTCAGCCCTATTTCCAAAACTCAATGTGCTTTTACTCCCGAAATCAATCTTTTTTTCCTCCTTACACGGCACAGGTGGCAAATCCAGAACTACAGTGTCCTAACAGTAACACGTGCTTCTGCAATCTGATGCAGCAGCAGGAAGTGACAGAAGGGCTGCTGCAGCACCTAAACAAGTGCTACAGGAGCAAGTACCACACATTCGTAAGGCAACAACTTGCTGCCACCACTCTTCTAGTACTCCTTCACCTCGCAGATGGATGAGCACTCTGTGGGATTCACCTAGCAGCTGCCTTGCCCCTGATTTCTGCCCACAACCAGCGATGTTTTCTCTTGTTAAAAGCACAGGGAAGGAGAGCTTTCAGAAGCACAGCCTTCAATGGTGCTGGGGACAGAGACAGCACTAAAGAGTAGATCATAGGGCACTGAATCACTGTTTCCTTTAAATCCACGAGGATTACTGCCCCACTTCTTCTGAGTACACACAGAACTCTTCAGATATCAGCCAGCTCTGAGAAGTAATTACACGAAGCGAAAAAGATGGGCTTAATGTTGTCAGTGATCCCACAGCAACACTCTCTAAGGTCTGAACGTGGAAACAGCCTGCCTGGCTACTGCACAGCCAGCAGGGATAGGGAGTCACAAGCATCTGATGACAAGAGTTCTGACTTCTGAAGCTTGGTGTGCAGCACAGGAATGGGAATGGATTCTGCAACACTGCCAGCTTCAACTCCAGCCTATGCTGGAACCGTAGTTGTAACACTTGGAAGATTGTCTTCTGATCACAAGACCACACGTGCTCACTTCATTTATTTTTTCCTCAAGTTTAAGAAAGGATCAAACCTCCTACATTATTCATTCTGTGGTCAGCAGTGAAGTGAATTGAGCAGGCCACAGCTGTGCAGTTACACCAGCTGGGGCTGGGACAGAGCTGATTTTCTTCAGAGTAACTCACACAGTTCTGTGCCTGGGATTTCAGGCCATACACACCAATGTTTTGGCTATTACTGAAAAGCACTAACATAGAGACAAGGCATTCTCCTCTCTGTTCTGCTACCCCATCATCAAGTGGCTGGAGTTCCTCAGAAGCTGAGATGGGTACAGTGAGAACAGCTGATCCCAACTGACCAAAGGGATATTTCATGCCATATGACATCATGCTGAGCAACAAGAGCTGAGACAAGGAAGGTGAGCACAGGAGACACTCAGAGCTATGGCATTTGTCTTCCCAAACAGCTGTTATGTGTAACAAAGCCCTGCTTTCCTGCAAGTGGCTGAGCATCTGCCTGCAGGTAAATAACAAATCACAGAATCATTTGAGTTGGAAGGGACCTTCAAAGGCCACCTGATCCAAGTCCCCTGCACTGAGAAGGGACACCTAACAGCTCCACCAGGTGCTCAGAGCCCCATCCAGCCTGACCTCAGGTGTCTGCAGGGCCATCCACCACCTCTGTGAGGCATGTGCTGGGAGTAGGTGCATTCAGGCTGCATTAACATTCCCAAAATCTTGCTAATCTACCTCAGGAGATCCATATACATAATGCCACAAGTTCACCATGCCTGTATTACAACAGGGCAAAACACAGGCACCTACTTATGGTCCTGATTCAAGAAAGCTCTTTCCATTCAGTCTCACCATAAGCACAGATTCATGCCCTGGTTATGGTAATGCTTCAGTCATATCCATATCCTAGGCATGGAAAGACTTTACTGCATCTTAGAGCACTGCTGTCTTCCAGAACAGTTTGTTTTCAGACTTCATGTGCACACTCAGGAGGACCTGGTTACTATTTCCACAATAATCCATCTGTGAATTGTTTACACCTTCTGAAACTTAGAGAGACATTTTTTTTGCCTGCTCTGGTTTAGATGCAATACAAACTGATGGCAATCTACATGCTAGTCTTGCTTTTTATACCAAGTGCTCAGAGCAGGTTGTTTGCTCACACTCTGCTATGCAACCTAGTCTCAGGGACTTGCTTTAACAGGGAGGGTTGGATTAGATGACCCCCAGTGGTCCCTTCTAACCCTTATGATTCTGTGCCAGTGCTTCATGACCCTTACTATAAAAAATGTTTTCCTTCTACCCAGTCTACTACTAGTCCAGTAGTGATTGAATTCCTTGTTTTTGCTTCCTGAGGAGTAGCAAGGAGTCCTGCTGAGGATACAGCTGCTACAGCACACAGGTTGACAACCCCTGCTCCTTGAAAGAGGCCCATTCATCCCACTGCTTCTGTTCCTTCCACCATGAACCAAAGCTGAGAAACTGAGAGAGCAGGCAGCTGTGTGTGACCCACACTGAAGAACCACCTTTCTAGACAGCCTCTGAAGGGCACTGCTGACAGAGTGCTCCTGAGAATGCCATGCTTGGTGATCTGCAGAACTACCCTCTGCTAAAACCTCAGCTCCAGATACCAATTTAATGAGGTTTGCTTTTACGAACAAAGCGTTGGCTACCAGTCAGAAAGATTCCAGCTGTATAATATTTCCAAACTCAAGCAGAAAGAGAAGGATCTCCTACATGCTCCTTGAGTAGAACCTACAATAGGCTTCCCATAGGTGGCCTGAATCTAATGCCAGAGAGCCAGCTGTCTGCCAGCAACCAGATACATGTGCAACTCTTGGAAACTCCTCCTACCTGGACAACTTCAGAAAAAGATAAAGTGAACCCCATAATGAGATCAGTCTGCATGAAGTGCAAGATGTTAAACAGTTTACAGTCAGATAGCTGAGGGTTCTTTCTGTCCTGGCTCACCCTCCCTGGGGTATATGCACATGTCAGGGAACAGAGACCCCAGTTCTGTAACAGAGATAATGTAAGAGCTCTCTGATGGAAAGAAGTTACAGAGGTCTGCAGTTTATGAAGAGAGTACTTTTAGATGGCAGGTAAAGCACAACATTCTTTCCTGTACATTGCCTGCATCAAACCAAGGATTCACACAGACAAAAGCCTAAAGGAGAGCAAGTGCCCACTCCTCGGGGTCAAGAGCACTCACAGCAGATTGCTGTCAGTTGGAAGGGTATGTCAAGGTGCCAGAGAATGCATCTGAACTGCAAGCGTTTTTGGAGACACAGTAGGAACAAATGGAAAAAATAAAAGAAAAATGAGTAAGCAAGGATGCACTGCACTGCTAGCAAAACCACATTTTAGGTCTGAAAGAAAGCACTTTGGCACAAGCCTGAACAGGACACGTCTTTGCCACACAGGCACAATGCAAGCTAGCATCCTGAAGTCCAAGCTAAAGCAAATGACATTGGGTGAGGATGCCAAGACTAGCAGCTTGCTGGAGTCAGTGCCTATAGCTCTGATACATTGGTTGGTACAAGAAGCTCTCAGTGGACACAGCTCTCCAAACAGCACTCAAAGCTTCCCAACACAAACTCCATGTGTATTAACCAGGAAAAAAAAAAAATTGCCAAGCTGATGAATCCAAGAATAATGCACATAGAAAACTTGAAAGCTGCAACATCTTTTCTGAGATTGGTCCCTTGAGATCAAAAACTGAGGTGGGGCAGACATGGGAAACTGTACTCAGTGTCAGCCCTTCCTGTGCCTAAAGGTGGTCCAGCCAAGGGTGAATCTGACTGCCAGTCCCTGGCCCAAACGATGCAGAGGTGGGGGAAACGTACACACATGCCTATCATGCCAGGTGGATTTGAAAGGGTTAGATGCCCTGTTCTGATTGAGCAGTTTGCCTCATAGGCATGGGGTGCCTCCAAAAAGCCTTACCTGAGCCAATTTTGATCAATCCATTGTGCTGAATGAAGATGGTGTCGCAGGTCAGGTTGCCATGGATGATTGGAGGGTCACAGGAGTGGAGGTAGCTGGATATTCAGAAAGAACAGTGGTCAGGAAGCAATCCCAGATTGAGGCAAGAATCCCTCCCCTCATCCTTTCCCTGGACTGCATCAGAAGAGAACAGGAATGCACAGGGTACAGGCCAAGGATAGCAGGGAGCTACAGTTCTGTGATGGACATCAGTATTTAGGCTAGAATAGAACAACCACCTCCAAAACTGAAGGAAGAAAGGAAGCTTCTTCTAACCAGTTCTTACAAAATCCAGGATACCAGATCTGCATTATCCACCTGATTACTGCTAGGTGAGTGCTAAAAGGGTGAAAATTTTATACCAAAAGATCAAAGTTTTATTCTGCCCTTCTTCACCGGGCATCCCAAAAGTGCCTGGTGCTGTACAAACACAATCAGTCCTGTTTTCCACCACACACAGAGAGAACTTTTCAGTGCTGGGGCTCCAGGTACAGTTAAGGATATTTCATATCCTCATATTTCATTCTGCACAATTAAAGACTGTCAGCTCCCAAACGTTTATTAAAATGCCAGATATTCCTCAGCAGCTACACTTAGCTACACAGAAACAGAATTTCCTCCATGGAGGGGGAGTCTTGCTCTGAATTCTGGGTTATCATTATTTTCCAAGGCTGTTTTCAGCCACACACCAAATCTGGCTCACATAGGGAAGACTCCTGAAGACAAAACAAATCCTCTCCATGTTTTATTCAACCAGATTGCATCAGGATGGCTGCAGATCTGCACCACCGAGCTGTGTACAGATTCATATGTGCTCCTAGCAATATGACACCACAATAATTATGAATACATTGCATGGCTGTAGGACTGCAGGCTGCCAAGTTGAAGAAAATTTTTCACAGTTCATTCACATAGAATTTAATGCCTTTAAGAGTTCTTTGCAACATCCTCTTGACAGTGGTTTGGGCCCAGGTTATGAAGCTGGACACCTGGAAAAGCTCCCTGATGCCTGATTTGCACACTCACCACCATATCAGTCACAACTGTTGGGATCCAAAACTCACTCTGCACCTTTAGCATAGAAGCTTTAGTACTGGTCTAACTGACCAAGTCGGATGGGGCCCTAGGTACCCTGACCTAGTGGTGGGAACCCTGCCTACAGCAGGATTTGGAACTGGCTTTAAGGGCCTTTCCAGCCTAAGCCATTCTATGGACTGCACAGACTCTGGGATGTCTCTGACCTTCCTCTGTTGTAGGAAGTGCAGCTGACCCTCTGCAGAGTCAACTGGGATAAGAATCAGGGTGGGTGACCAAAAATGCTCTCCTGGCTCCATTCAGTGGAGTTTGCTTGCATTTAACAGCACGTATACTTAAAGCTTTTACTATCCTAGCACAAGAAATGCTACAGTTAAACAGAGGCTAGACCTCGAGATCAGCAACTCACATACCTGAGGGCAGAAAGGATCTGGGTACACCATCGCTTCCAGGCCTACAGATAGGAGCAAGAAGGAGAGAAGTCATTCAGAGAACAAGAACTAATCCATACTTCAGTGATTCAGAGTCCATTCACATGGAAGATTAATACCCCCCTCCATTCAGTGATTCCTAACCAACAAAGGTGTGTAGGAAGTAAAAACTGTCTCAGTACTCTCACACTCGGTTTAGTTTCTACATGTCCACATGCCTTCCCTCCCAGCTCCTCTTCTGCACAGACCACCTCCCTCTTTCCTGCATGCACAGGTGGAAATAGGACAAGCTGTCACACCATTCACACAAAGCTGCAGAAGTGCAAGGAAACAAAGCAGCATAGTAAAGACATCCCAGAATACCTGCAATTAAACTAGCTTACAATAACAACAAAGAATATCAGCCACGTGTTATCACCAGGTTTCTTTCTCATTAGGAACCTTTGCTGAAAGGCCTTTTGGAAACGGAAGGCACTAAGTGAAAATATACATAGAGGAAAAAAAACCAGTTACCTTTTCATTCATAGTTTTGTGGTTCTTCTTTGTCTTCTTCAGAAACTGTTTCAAGCTCCCTGAAGACATATATTCAGTGATGAAGATTACCTGTGGGGCAGTATAAGATATTATCTTCTGCTTCACTAGTTGCCTACAGAATATACAGCAAGAAAACCCAACAGGTTGCTTGTTTTACTTACTCTGGCTTTATTCTCCTTCACATCAGCCCAGTATTTGTGAAACTTTACAATGTTCAGATGTTCCAACTGAATTAAGTTGTCAAACACTGCTTTAACTTTCTCCTGTGACATAAAGACAAAGCCATGTTACACTAGTGACCAGGTTGGCCCACACCTTACTTTCTTCTTGGGTTTGGGACCTCAGAAATGAGGCAATACTCTTCAAGCTTCTATACTAAGAACAAACAGCACCTGAGTTCATCTTACACTGCCTAGTTTGATCACCAAGACTAAGCCAGCAGTTCTCAGTTACATTTTCTGCAGCAGTCAGACTTAAGCTGAATGTGCTACGTTTAAACAGCACAGCACTCCAAACTGGAGGAGTTACTGATGCAGCCAACAACCCACATGAACCAATGCCCAAAACTCCACCCTGATGGAAAGCACGTCACCCTGATGCAACATATGTTAACTGTACAGGTGATGGAGCACTTGAATAGGCTGCCAAGAGAGGCAGCTGACTGCTCCTCCTCAGAGATGTTCAGAAACCACACAGACAGGGTCCTGGGCAACCTGCTGTAGGTATCCCTGCTTGAGCAGCGGGGTGCAGCCACGTGACCTCCAGAGACTTCTTCCAACCTTAACTGCTCTGTGATTCCGTGGTGTTTCCCATCCCATTTGGGGTCAACGTACCTCCTGAAGTTTAAAGTTCTTCCGTTCAGAAAACTGAACCTCATTCCAAACAACTTCCACACCTTCCTCTGTATCCATAGCCAGGTAGGCACTATCGATGCCCGGCACGTTGCGCTGATTCACCTGAACGGGAAGGAGGGAGGAAGATACAAGTTAGCAGGCTAGATCATCGTTTCACATCCTCCATTTGAAGCATCATGAACTTTGTGAGTTAATTTTTATTTAAATTAAAAATTCACCAGCAGCTGGCTTTCCTAACTTCCAGCTGATCTGACTCCCCTTGAGGTAAGTCAATACACAGATTTGGTTTGTTTCCAGACTCAGTAGGGATCCTACCATCAAACATTTGCTGGAAACTTCTCACAATAGACAAAGGCTTCCTCACAAACCCATTCCTCCTGGCAGCCACTTATACATGATCCAATTTCCAATTTGCTTTCAACCAGTGAGCTGCTCCATCAGCTGACCTTGAGCTCCTAATACAACGCATGATCAGAAGGACTAACACACTGACAGACCATGCACACAACAGCTGTGAGCAGAGAAAGGAGCCCATGTAAGTATTAAGCCTGCTTTTGTGCAAGCTTTTTAAGTTGATGGTGTAATTCAACAACTTTAACAGCCAATCAATATAGGTTGGCTTCTCTGGAGATGTTCCAAGGGAATCAGAAGAGGCCTGATGACGTTCAACATCCCCAAACTGCAGATGACACCCAGGAGCAATAAATGACCACAAGAACAGTACAGCTGGAACAATACAGACTGCTCAGTAAACTGAGTCATAAATTGTGATGCAATGGCACGGTGTAGATAGGAATAAAGAATACAGTTCATAATTACATAGAGACAAACCAAGCTACAGGAAGTAACTGCTGAAAACAATGACAAGAGAAGCAGCTTAGCATGAATGATCCCATTCCTCTCCTACCTCTCACTAACAGCATAACCGAGCAGTGAAAAGTCTGCCATTATATTCAGATAAATACAATATTTGTTGTATTTATTGTAAGAAAGTGTTTTTCTCTGCACGAACACACTGATGCTGACATTAAAATACTGCATCAGGCCTGTTATGTTCCACTGTCAAATAAAACTTGGGGTCTTGTGTGACATGGGTCAGTGGGCATGGTGGTGACGGATTCACAATTGGACTTGGAGGTCTTCTCCAACTTTAATGATGAAAGATTGAAGACTGCAAGGATAAAACATTTATCCATTAAATATTTAGCAGGAGAAAACTCTCAGGCATGACAGCAAGAACACCTATTACAATCAGTGTACCAAAGATGACTGCCCAAAGGCTTCTACTTCAGGCAGCTGAAGGAAGAGCCCAGTCAAGACAAAGCTAGTATTGCAGCAACAAAGTACTGCCATGACTGCAACACCAAATGCCCATGCATTCCTCAGTATTCTCTTATTTTGTTATATTCACTGCCTACACAGAACTTCTGACTGCTGGATTCATTACTGCAGCCCTGAAGTATTGACAGCTACTCAAAATCTGCCTCAATAACGCAGGCAGAGGAACTTGATGTAACTTCTGGGCACTTTATCTAAAGCAAAGCATTTCTATGACTCATAGGCAACATCTTAGGGCATCACCTATGACTCACGACACCAAACCCACATCACTGAGGGTAATTCTCAGAGCAAACTTAACCAGTTAGAAGCATCGAGGCAGTTAAGAACATTGTAGACAGATGTGGCTGTAGGAATGTAAAGCTCAGCTTACCTACAAACTCAGTAGTTTGCAGCAAGCAAGCAAGCAGAAATAAAAAGGACAAATCCAAGATGGTATCTTTCAATTGCTCTGAAGGGTAAGGAGTGCACGGGCATTAACACTGGATGAAGGGGATGGAAGTTCTCTGCCTGCAAGATCTGTCAAGTAACTGGGAAATACTTTGATTTGTTCCATTTTCAGCAGTCATTTGATGACCCACATCAAAGACAAGTGATGTCTTGTGGACTATGCTGGTGAAACAACAAGACTGCCTCAAACACAATACCCTGTGTTCTTAACACACTATTTGGAAGGGTTAACATGAACTCTCACTGAACAGCTCAGTGACCCAGAGCCTGGGTTCCCTCACCCTACAGGTAGGAAGGGTGAAAAACAGCAGAATTGTTACCACTGGTTTTAAGAGAGCAAACCCCAACCTGCTCAGGGAACAAGTTGGCAGGGTGCCCTGTGAATCTGCCTCTGAGGGCTGAGATGTCCACAAGAGCTGGTTACTTCTTCAGAATCACCTTCTAAAAGCACAGGGGCAGGCAACCCCACTGCATCCTGAGTCAAGCATGAGTAGCATGAGACCAGCTTAGCTGAAAAGGGAAAGGAAGAAGCATTAAGTGTCTCTTTTGCTTCAGTCTTTGATATTAATTATAAGCCCTGGGTTGTCCAGTCCTGCGACAAGTTGGAGGACTGCAACGTGGGAAGCAAGGACTTTCCAATCATTGACACCAAACTGTAAGGAACCAGTTGTATCAGTTGAGCATTTTTATACAAGTCCATTTGTCCTGAAAGTATTCATCTGAGAGTGCTGAGGGAGGCAGCAGGTGGCATAGCAGCGCTCCCCTCAGTGATCTATCAAAGGTCTTGGGAGGATCAGACTGGGAACTAGCCAACAATACCCCAATTTACAAGGGCAGGAGAGGACACCTTGGCAATTACAGACCTGTCAGTTTAACTTCAGTACTCGGGAGAATTTGTGGAGATGAACCTGAGCTCCACTGAATGGCACGTAAAGGATGGCGCAATCAATGTGGATTCACAAGAAGAAACTCCTGTCTCACAAACCCTCCCATGGTAAGACCACCTGCTCAGTGGACAAAGAGAAAATGATGGGTGTAGTTCCCCTTGATTTCAGCAAGGCTTTTGATCATTGTCCCAGAGGTATTAGTTTGCACAAACCATCTGACTGTGAGACAAACAGGAACACTGGGTGAAGAACTGGCTGAACAGTAGGGTTAAAGGGTGGAGATGGCAGCCCTGGGGCTCAATCTGGGCAGTTCTGCTCAGTATTTTTATTAAAGTTCTGTACCAACACCTTTCCAGACATTCAAGTCTGCAGCAGAATTCAGAACTGTAACCACTCAATTCAAATCTGGAGAGTATAAACTCCAAGCTCTTCAAAATACAAACTACATCAATGATCAGAGCCACCACAACAGAGGGAAGAACCCAGACAACCTCAATCAGTGGTGAGTGCAACACCGAACCCAAGGCCCTGCACGGACAGAAAGGTGAGCAATGAAGTCATCACCCATCAGCAAATCCACCTAAGCAGTCCAGTGGGAGTAGCAGTATTACTCAAACCAAGTGGAGACACTGCGTGAAGGAACCCACGACTCAGAATGTCAGGGATGGGCAATTTGGGCACGGAAGAGGAAAATGTGGGTGCAGTACTTATGAGATGTTTGAGGGAAGCCAAAAGGGTGGAAAGAAGGGATGAAACACTGTGCATGTCCTGTGCCTGATTATCACTAAACTCTTTCTGTAACTTCTGTTTTCTGTGCAGGCATGCTCCCTATTCACCCTGTAGCACAAATATTCGAACAGAGTAACGCTCTGGTGCTGCCAATAAGCTACATGGAATGCGTTTTATTTTTTTACAATTGCTCTTTCAAGAATGCAAAGCAAACCCTACACCTTAGTCATGGACAGCTGGAGTGTAACTAGCACTCCTAACCACCCAGGAAAGCTGGGAAAACAGCAGACAGCTGCTCTGGTTGTGCCTGCTCCCCCACTGAGGCAGCATAAAGGCTGAGAGGTGCTGCTGGCTGATGAGGCACCCAGAAAGCTGCCAGCTGTCAGTTACAGTCAATAAGCAAGAACACAATGGCCCTGTAGAGGACAGGCCCCAGACAAAGACTCAGTTCCCTCTACTTTCTGCTGTGCCCCTGTTCTCATTCAAACGCATCTCACTCCTTCCAGGACATCCTTAAATGAGCCAATAAAAGTGCTGAAGGGCTGCACAATTCAAACGTTTCCAATGGTCGAGTAAAACCACAAGAACTACAGCATGGCATTTGTTGTTTCTTTTTTTCCCCATCAGCTGGAAAAAGGATCCACAGCCAAAACCAATCAAAAAGCTGGCAGCCCCCCTCATCCCAACTTGAAGATCTCTACTACCCTTCCTCTCTCCAACAGCAAAGGCAAAGCTCAGAGCACCTGAAATGCCACCTTTCTGAGCACGGTGCCTCACTTTCCAATATCAAGAAACTCAGTACAGTGGGCACAGCAGTGATGAGCAGATGGTCGGACTGGATGACCTTACAGGCCTTTTCCAGCCTCAACAATACTATGACAGTAAAGACTTCGTTGTTGCCCATATTAACTTTCAGTATCAAGATACAATGCAGAGGAGCAAGAATCAAACACTAGTTTCATGGCTATGCACAGGAACAACCTACGCTGCCTGAAATGTTGGTTCTCAAGTTTTACAGGTCATCTGAGATCCACATGGAATTTCTTCAACCCATCTCATCTGCACACTGCATAAAGGAAGCCATGAAAGACTGCTCTGTTCAACCAGCTTACCTGACTGCAGAAAATACTAGAAATAGGAAAGCAAGAATCCAGCAACACAGCAACCGCTGCATGCACAGACACTTATAAACAGGAGATCTCCCTCAGGGGTAAGGCAGAAAAGAAGTTGTGGATCTCAGAAGCCTCTCCCCTAACATGCACTTACCAAGCTCAACACTAATACCGTGCTGAAAATGCCAACAAACAGACAAGCTGAAGAATATTCTGCTGCAGCAGAGCACAAGGCTTCCTATGGCTGTATCTGTGATACTTCTTGCTTGTTCTGCATAGCTCTTGGGGCTGTACTGAGTTGAAGCTCTAACATTTCAGGTTTAACACCTACCAGCAGCAGTAGTCTAAAAATGTACCTTATGTACATTCCTACTGTCCTATAAGAAGCTTCTGATCCAGGAGACATAGCTCAAACAGCAGATAATTCTGAAGATATTTGGACAACCTCAAAAAGAAGATTATTTATGTGAGTGACAGAAAAACATAGAGTAACATGGGGGCAGCAGAAAAAAAGGGTCTGTTTGGCTTTTTTTTTTTGTCAGTAAGATAAAAGGAATCAAGAAAAACACAAACTTAGAGAAGCCGTCAGCCTCTGTTGCTCCCTCCTACAACTCCACTAACCACTGCATCCCTGATGGTGCCCAAGGTCAGGCTGGATGGGATCCTGGGCAGCCTAAGCTGGAGGGTGCACCCAGCCCACAGCAGGAGTTGGAAATGGATAATCAAAAAGGTCCCTTCCAGCCCAAGCCATTCTATGACTGTATGCAGTTCTGAGCTCCACAACATAAAAAGCTTCTTAAGGGTGGGGAGTGACAAGGAATAATGGTTTTTAACTGAGACAGGGCAGGTTTAGGTTAGATATTAGGAGGAAGTTTTTCACCCAGAGGGTGGTGAGGCACTGGAACAGGTTGCCCAAAGAGGCTGTGGATGCCCCATCCCTGCAGGCATTCAAGGCCAGGCTGGATGTGGCTCTGGGCAGCCTGGTCTGCTGGTTGGTGACCCTGCACAAAGCAGGGGGTTGGAACTGGATGAGCATTGTGCTCCTTTTCAACCCAGGCCGTTCTATGACTCCATGACCCTCAGTGTGCCCACAGGAGGGCACAGAGCTGGCAGCAGGGTTGGGAGGAGTCTGGGAGCTGTCTGAAGGAAAGGAGGCCCAGAGACTGCTACGCTGCTGTCTGCAGGAGGAGGAGTGCAGAAGGTACATAACAGCAGAACCACACCATTCTCCATTAAGTGCTCCCTGAGGAAGATCAGCCTTCTCCATCCACTTATAACAGCACCTCTTGGATGACACGATGGGGTGCGAAAGCCTCATCTGGAAAGTTTTTGCCGAGCTTCGGTGGGAATAGCACTAAGTGTGGAAGAGAAGCTCCCTGTCTCTAGAACGAATCGCCCCCCATCAACACAGCCTCGTTTGCTCACCCCGGACACAAACCCGGCACTGCCATGTGATTTCACCATTGTCATAAAACAAAGACACGATGAATAGCGGGAGATCCGGGAAAGCTTCCAGCAGAGAACAGGCCGTATTCTAACAGCTTCTGCCTGACCGCTCGAACACAAGGCCCGGCTCCGCCGGGACCGCACAGCCCCCACCGCGGGCGGCGGGGATATGGAGCAAGGCCAACCGGAAGCGATCGGGCAGGGGGCGGGACCGCACGCAGCCAATGGGAATGCCGAACGGCTCCAAACGGAAGCTGCTGCGAAAGGGGGCGGGGTCTCACGCTGCCAATGGGAGCTCCCGTAGGTGATGTAATGCTCCTACTCCAAGAGGCATTGGCTGGAGGAGCTGTCACTCTGGGGCCGCTCCCGGCTGAGAAGGCCGCGGCCCGCTGGGAGGGGCTCCTTCCACGCGCGAGGGACTGGAAGAGCTCAGAGAGCTTTAGTGAAGGGAGAGAGAAACGGCTCCGAAGAAGTGGGAAGAACGTCGTAGGAAAACAAGCAGAGACATCCCTGAAGGCCTCTTGGTCCGCCCGTGCCCATGTGGCGCTTCGAGGCAGCTCCCGAGGCACACACAGCACAGCAGGGCACGGCGATGGGCAACTGCCCGTGTCCCCAGGCCTGCCACGGAATGACAGAATGGCCAGGGTTGGAAGGGACCTCAAGGATCATGAAGCTCCAACCCCCTGCCACATGCAGGGCCACCAACCTCCCCATTTCATAGCAGCCCAGGCTGCCCAGGGCCCCATCCAACCTGGCCCTGAACACCTCCAGGGATGGACGGGGCATCCACAGCCTCTCTGGGCAGCTGTTCCAGCACCTCACCACTCTCTCTGTAAAGAACTTCCCTTGACATCCAACCTCAATCTTCCCTCCCTCAACTTCAAACCATTTCCCCTTGTCCTGCTGTTATCTACCCTTTCAAAGAGTTGATTCTCCTCATGTTTGTAGGCTCCCTTTAGGTACTGCCAGGCTGCAATGAGGTCACCCCACAGCCTTCTTTTCTCCAGGCTGAACAAGCCCCCTCAGCCTGTCTTTATACGGGAGGTACCCATGTGCTGTTAACAAATAAACATGGTTACAATGCTCTAAATCCATGCTTCAAGCTGAGAAGTGAAGAGCTGAAGACCTGGGAGCTGACATGTTGCACCCAGGCCATACAGGCCACCTTCTGCACATATTGTCACGTTACTCTGCTCTGGCAGCACCCAGAGAGCACATTGCTGGGATCACGAACCAGCATTGCATCACGGTGGGAGGGGAGGCCGCAGCATTCCTTCCCTGTGGAGTAACCCTGCTGCCCAGGGGCAGTGAGTAAGAGCTGTCTGCATGGGTACACAGACCGGAAGAACCAGAGCTGGCTGCTTTGCCCCACTGACAGCCCTCACAGGGATGCTGCTGCAGCATAGCGCTGCACTTGGGCACGCTGGGATGTTCAGAAAGTAAAGGTGTTGTTCTGGAATTTCACACTACATGTTGACCCAAGCAGAGATCGAAGGTGTCATGGGAGCTTAGATCTAATTAAGCCACATCTGACATACAATTGCAGCTTGTATCAGACACACAAATGCTCAGCATCTCTGCAAGAGAACAGTACCACCTCAACAACGAGGGGCTGAGGATCAGAGGCCTCATTTTTACCCCATATCAACCAACAATTCCTTTTGTGGCCTCCAACAATCATTCTGGTGTTACTTTGATATCTGTCAAGTTGAAATGAAGCTCAGATATCCAGTAAACAGAGGGGTCTGCAATCAGACCAACCGGTCATCCTCATTTCCAAGCACGAGGTGTTCCTGCCCGTGGCAGGGGTTGGAATGGGGTGGTCTTTAAGGTCCCTTCCAACCAAGACCATTATGGGATTCTGTGATTCATTCATTCCCAAGCCTCTCTGGCGCACTGAGTCAGCACTGACCATGGGGGGGGGAAACTACTTCTAACAATAGTTTCAGGTTGTCATAAGGAATGTATTCCAAAGAACAGAATTAGAGCCTTACATAGAAGCCTCGCCTTACAGGTGCACAACTGAAGGCACTCTTAATACACGCTGGAATACATTAATGAATACAGGATAGCCTTCAAATAAATAAAGGAAAGGAGGTGCAGGGCATCCTTGACCTTATTTCGACCTCCAAATTTACATAGAACATGGGACTCTTTCACCACCACGGGTTTGCATTGCTCTATGAATGTATCTGTTAACGCAGACATCTCTGTGCCTGTTTTGAGTTGGCTGAGTAAGGCAACATCAGCACCCGTCTTGCAGCACTAAAGGTAAGATTTCCTCAACCACACAGCTTGCCCAACCACAGCAGGTTTCACTAAGAGAACACGAAGCAGAAACCAATTTCTGGAGGTAGGCTCCCGAGATAGTAAGGAGAACCCAGAGAGAAATGGGAAGAGCTCTGAAAGATCTTTAGTTCTTCAATTCAGATCTTAAGTTCTTAACATGAGAGTGGTGAGGCGCTAGAACAGCTGCCCAGAGAGGCTGTAGATGCCCCATCCCTGAAGGTGTCCAAAACCATGTTGGAAGGGGCCCAGGGCAGCCTGGTCTGGTATTAAATTTAGGGGGTTGGAGCTTTATGATCCTTGAGGTCACTTCCAACCCTGGCCATTCTGTGATCTAATCTACTCATGCCATCGTAGAGGATGGTCCCAATACATGCACTGAGAAACGAATGCAAATCAGACAAGCCCAGAAGTCTGCAAGAACCAGCCCTAATTAAAGGCTTCAAAGCAAACCCAAACGTGTAGCTGATGAGTCTGCACAACCGGGCAGCTCCACAGAAGGTCCCACTCCATTCACCAGGCGCTGTGCAACCGGTGCACTTTGTTATTCCCCAAGCACAAGAGCTGGGAAACAAGACAGCAAACAAACGCCAGGAAGAGCCCTTCCTCAACGCAGCGGCCTCGATACCAACCGTTCGGAAGGGCCTCCAACACCGCAGGCGGACCTCAGGCCGCCGCACAGCCCAGAAAGGCCGCTCCCGACCCCCGGCCCCGAAGGGATGGCTGCGGGAAGGGCAGCGCCCGGCGCCCGCCCCACCGCAACGCAGAGGCCCGGACGCCGACACTGACCTCCTCACGCCGCTTCTGCCAGCGGCCGCACGGGGACTCCTCGAGGATCTCGGATTCGTCCTCGCTCTCTTCCTCCTCCTCCTCCTCCTCCGGGGGAGCCGCGGAAGTCACGGGCGCGGACACCGAGGTCATCCCCGGCCCCGACGAGGCAGAGTCCGGCTTGGGGTCGGAGCCGCCGCTCGGCGCCTGTTTGGCCTCGCCCTCCGACATGCTGCGTCGCACCACCTGCGGGCGGGACGCGGCGTCAGGCGGCCCTCGCTCGGAGCGGGCCGGAGCGGCAGGCCCAGGGGGCCGGAGCGGGCCGCGCCCGCCGAGCTCCGTCGACTAAAGCCGCGCCCCAAACCTACGGAAGGTACCCGATCCTCACTGAGCGCAGCCCGAACTGGAGAACGCCGCTAACGATGAGCGCGGGCTGCGCTTACCGGGCTCGCCCGGCACCTCCCGTCCCCCAAACGCAGAGCCGCTCCGCCGACAGCCGCCGCCAACCGCCGTGCTGCGTAACGCGCCGTCAGGGGCGGGGCCGCTTTCTCGCCACCCAATCAGAACACAGATACTAACCTTCGCCCTGTGCGGATTGGTCGGTGGGCGGGGCTCGAGGTACCAGGCGCGATAGAGGGCGCCCGCGCACCTGTGAGGCAAGATGGGGCGGGAGTGGGGATCTCAGCCACCAATGGGAACAGCGGAGCGGGCTGCCGGCATCCGCTGATTGGTCGGCGGCGGGGGCCCGCGGTATATAGGGCGGATAGTAGCCCCATGCTGAGGGCGTATTGCGTTGTATTGGTTTGTTTTTCTGCGGAGAGTGTTCTCGAGTAGGTTTCAGGCACTCCATGTGATGCTTCGCCCCCTGCACCAAGCCCAGGCGCTCCCTGTAAACACTACAGTGCCATCGGTTCTGAGTTCCTAGTTCTTCCTTCCCCGCGAGAGTACAAATAAGGCACCGCCTCAGAGGGGCTGCTGCAGCCGAACGGCATTACGGGGGGCAGCCCCAGGGCTGCTCCTGATAGCTACTGCCAAACGCTGGGCGACCTCCGGGAGGGCTGAGGCAGCCGAGCAGAGTGCTTACCTAGCCGTGCCGCTCTAGGAGCCGCCCGTCTCTATGGTTCGCACTTCCGGTCCCCTCTTCTTGGCCGAGCGGGTTGAGTGCTCCCTCCCCCCACCCCCGTGGCGACTCTCTAGCCCGCGCTTCCGGCCGCGCTACTTCCGCTCGGCGGCTCGTTGGTGGGTGGTTCCGCCGCCCTCGCCGCCTCGCCGCCCGCTCCGGGCCGTCCGCGCTCTTCAGGTGCTGCCCGCTCCGCTTCGGCCGCCTCAGCGTTCGCCGCCACCTCCCCTCCGCGCACGGCCGCCGCGCCGAAGGCTGGCATCGCGGCGGCCTTCGCCATGGGCGCGTACCTCTCGCAGCCCAACACGGTGAAGAGCTCCGGGGATGGGGCCGGGCTCGGGCCGCGCCCGCTGCACTTCGGTTTCAGCGCTATGCAGGGCTGGCGCGTCTCCATGGAGGTGAGCGGGGCCTGGCCGAGGGTCTGGGCCTGGCGGGAGCGAGCGCTGCTCCTCCTTTCCCTCCCTGCCCTCCCTTCTCTCCCTCCCCCCTGTGCCACCCCCGGCCCTGCGCCGTGCTGGGAGAACTCCGCCCGATGGGAACCTGGGGATGAGGACGGATAGCGACTGCTCACGCAGGTGTAAAGCGATAAGGCAAGGGGGAAGGGTTTTAAACTGATAGAGATTTGCTTGAGGTGTGGTGGAAAATTTTCCCTCAGAGGGCAGCGATGGCGGTGCTGCCCGAGAGCTGAGGGTGCCCCGTGTCTGGAGGTGCTCAGGGCCACCAGCAGCCCTGATGGAGTGGCTGGCAGCCCAGCCTGCAGGAGCAGGTTGGAGCTAGGTGGTGTTTGAGACCCCTTCCAAACCAAGCTATTCCACGAGTCTATGAATAGCATTCATGTCGTGGTTAATTTTCTCTTATAGGTAGCTAGTAAACAAGGGGAGCTCAGGAAGGAGCAACACTGGGCCCTGCAGCCTTAAGGGTGCATCTCCTCTGAATGTGGAAAAGCACCTTCTTGTTTGCAGCCCTCTGGCTTGGTCTGGATGGCCTATTCGCAGCGTTTGGGTTCTGCCAGTACGATTCCACAATGGGATGCTTCATCACTTCTGAAGTGCTTTAGTGGTTTCACTGGTGACAAAGCAGTGACTGAGTTTTTCCTTCTTTCTGCATGTACCAGAGCTTTATGAAGGTGCAGGGTATGGTTTCTAGAGTAGAAGAGGAAGAAAGGAGAATTGGTGCCCGTGCTCCTAAGGTGAACTTGGTGTTTTTGTGCTCAGTTGGCTGTGAGCAGTGGTGTCTCCATTGTGTTGGCCTTTATATGTGGAGACAGAGACACAGCTGGAGCACTGGGGTGACATGCAGCCATCAGCTTGTGGCAAAAGGCTGAATGTAGGCAGTGTTCTGGTGCACAGAGGCTGGAAACATCTTAAGGATGTGGGCTCGGATGGGGGGGAGCAGAGAGCCTGTAGCACTGCTGGTGGGTTACCGTAGTCCTCCCACAGGTGGGAAGCTGGCTCAATTTTGCTATTTTGGAGCCTGTTCTCACTGCTGTTGACCTTTCTGGAAATTGGATGAGGGCCAGAGCTTGCAGCTGTGTTTTTTGCCCTAACCAACATCTTTGGCATATCTCCCCACTGAGAAAAGCGGTGCTGAGGGCATTGGCGTGGACGTGGTTCAGCTGCATTATCACAAGGAATGAGATGGTGGGAGTGCTGTGTTACAAACTGAACCTGCTGCAGATTTCTCCTGTGTGTTTGGTGGGGTTTTTGGTGGATGGGTCTTTATCCCTTTTTTCACGTTTAAGTGTACTCCCACTTTTCCATTAAGCTTGGGAAAAGCTCTGAGCGAAAGTGTATTCCTTTGGTTAATATTAAAGTTTTTAGGTATGGGTTTTGTTGGTGAAGCTTAGCAGCATGTATGGAAGTGGTAGAAGGGTATGGGCGTTTTTGGTTGGTAACAGATCCTGCTGAAGTTCTGTCTGTTGCCTGTGGGTCACGTTTTAGGAGCCTCCAAGTGAGACAGGTATAAGGAGTTCTAAAGATACATACTGTAAAAATCCATTTTTACTCCGAGGAGGTGGTTTTATACATGAGGAAATGCTTTGGGCTGAAGGCTGATAAGGGAGGGATTGCTGGCAGCGGGGCTTTGTGAGCTCCATTGCTCATTGTGGAGCATGAGGTCCTTTACCTGTTTGTCTGCTTCCTCGACAGCGCTGCCCTGGTTTGGGATCAGGACGTGTTGCAGTCGTACAAATGGAGTAGAAGATCATTTTGCTGCCAGCGTTGGGTTTCCTCCCATTTGCGTTTCTTGCTCTAATTAAGCTGCTGCTTAGTCACCAGGGACTTATCCCAGTTAGTTTAGTGTGGTTTTGTTATCTCTCAGGCTTCTGTAAATGCTATGAGAAGTGAGGATAGGAGCAGGAGAGCTCCTCAGCTGTGCAGCAATCCAGCGTGGCTGAGTGTAGGTCTAGAACTGTTTGGGGATGGCTGGCAGTGTGAATGCAACCAAACCTGAAGCCAGCTGACTTGGAACAAGTGCTTTTCTTTTGGGGCATCTGTAGCATAGTGAGATTCAAGATTAAGAGCTTCAACCACAGCAAGGAGGCGAGATCACATTGTTTCAACAGCCCCATGCATGTTTGCTAGCAGAAGTTTGGTTTGCTCACAGGGTGAAAGAGGTCACACTGGTGTAAGGTCTGGGCGGTGTCTTCTTCCAGGTCTGCTGCTCCTGTGACCACGTGGAGATAGAGGCTTCTCTGCGTATTCACCTCGAGTTTTGGTTGTCTTTGTAGTCTGGGAGCATGTACAGGCTGGTAGGATTCTGACATTGGTACCCCAAAGCCCCTGGGACAAACTTTCCCTCCTGTTTGTGAAGTGTGCCAGGGTTTCTGGGCAGCTGGCAGAACAGGGATCTGTCTTATCTTGGGAAGTGGTACCTGGTTCAGTACTTTGGTTTGGGCTCTGCTCGTTGCATCTCCTTTGCTTTGCTGCTGTAAAGATGCTTGGCAGATGCCTGGCTCCTTGCTTTGCTGTCAGGAGCGTCCCGTGTGGTGGAAGCAGGAAGGAGCCTCTGTGCCAAGAGGAGCTTTTCCAGCCCAGCTCTTTGTTCTCGGTGGGTGCAGTAATGCTGTGTGTAGCAAGGCTGCCTTTCCTTGGTCTGCTGGGATAGACAGCTGCTGTCATCTGTGGTCGTGTTCACAGGACAAGCTAAGGCAAAGCCTGGGGTTGTGTGGAAGGCACAAGCTTGGGAGGTTCCATATGTAACCCTCTGTGTTCACCCATGTATCAGAGTAGCTTTTCACTTTGCACAGAACTTGTTTGGCAAGAGCAGGGGAAGAGGGCTACTACAGTAACACAGCCCTTATAGGTACCTCAAAAAGAAGGAATTGATTCAGACTTGAGCGTGGCAGTATCTAGAGCCATACTGAGGAATTAAAACAATATACAGCATGATTTAATTGTAAAGAGGCTGAGCTGCTCTAGCACAGAGACACCACAGTGTGAAAGATCCATGTTCCTTCTCTGAGATGAGGTCTCACCAGGTAAGCTCTTGGAATATGTTCTTGCTCTTCCTCCAGCTTTGAGACTGCTTGCGTCAGCGCTCGCGGCCTCTGCTCCTTTTCATACAGTGCTTTTTGCAATGCATCTCATCCCAGCCTTCTGCTCTCTCTTTCAGGATGCACACAACTGCATACCAGAGCTGGACAGTGAAACGGCCATGTTCTCAGTCTATGATGGACACGGAGGTAACTGCTCCCCTGCTCCCCCCGGAGTTCTTTGCTGTGGCTGCTTGGTAAAAGTGGCTCCTGGCGTGGCAGCTGGAGCCAGTGTCTGCCTAGCTGTAGAAATCCTGCTCCTTCTTGGAAAGCACTTTGTTACATAGATTGACTAAGGCTCTGAGAGTCTCTTGGGGTTTCTAGAAGGAAGGTCATGGGTTGACACAAAACTGCGAGGAGATTTATGTTCCATCTTCTGAATCTCATTTAAGAATGCCTGTTTATTTTCTTGTGGGGTGTTAGGATAATCGCAGAGATTGCAGCTTTATATGTTTGGTGGTTATTTGCATAGGATGTGTTGCATATAAGTAAATTTTTTTTTGTGTTTGAACAAGTAATTTGATCTAGCTCTGCTACCCAATAATTTCACTGCCATATTGTACACTTCAGTTGCAAGAAACTGGTAAATAATCACTGTTATCAATTTCCACTGTCTTAATTTTAAGACAGTGAAAAACTTAACTTAAAGAACTCTGTTCTTTCTTTTAGTAGGAAGAGTCCTAAATCTGTGCTGTTAAATTAAAAAGCAGCCCCCATTTTCTGGCCCTTAAAGCCCACTGTTGCATTGTGGACCCACTGATGCTATGAACCTGACTTAGAATAGTGTGACTGCATCCAATCTGGCTGTTAGTCCAGGTCCCTCTTGCTCCTGAACCGTCACTTGGGTGCTAACTGGCTTATGCTAAAAGTCCACCATGAGTTATTCCAGTTGTTTTTAGCCCAGGTGATGAAATGCCTGGGCCACAGCAGTCGTTCTGCTGCTTGTGTTGGGCATAACCACACATTCCAGGCACTGTATTGTTCCACAGCTCTGATTATGATTGTTGGTTTTGGATTCTAGCTCTGCAGCGTGCTTTCAGGTGGCCAGATAAGCATTGCCTACAGCTTTGAAGATACAGATGTACCATCAATTTATTGTGACATAAGTGGTGTCTGCTTTGATCTCAGCTCCTTTCCTACCAAATCTTTCTTGAGTGATAATAGGTGGCTTTGTGTCCATGCAGTGTGTATATGTAGTTCACAAAGTGCTTTGATTTGGAAGGGACAGTGAAGCTCACCTCACTGCAACCTCTGCCATGAGCTGGGACATCTCCCAGCAGCCCAGGCTGCCCATCCAGCCTGGCTTTGGGCACTGCAGAGATGGAGCACCCACAGCTTCTTTGGGCACCCTGTACCACCCCTCATCACCTTCGTAATGAAGAATTTCTTCCTAATATAATAATCTAAATCTCTCCTCTTTGAGTTTAAAGCTTTTACCCCTTGTTCTGTCACTATATTCCTGACAAAGAATCCTTCCCCAGCTTTCCTCTAGGCCTTTGGGTACAGCAAGGCACAAAGGGCTCCCCAGAGCCTTCTCTTCTGCAGGCTGAGCAACCCCAGCTCTCAGCCTGCTGTGCACTTTGGGTAAGTCCAGGTAGATAACATCAATTGCTTTTCCCTTATCTGCTGATGCTGTAACCCTGCTATAGAAGGCAACAGCATTTCTCAGGGACTGTTTGCCCTTATTGAAACCATCTTGGCTTTCCCCAGTCACCTCTGAGTTCTCTGCCTGCCTTAGCACAGTTCCCAGGAGGATTTATCCACCAATTATTCTTAATGTCTGTCAGTGAGGAATTTCATCTGCCAATGTCATGTATTTGCAGGGCTCAGGTACCAGATGTGCAGGTCCATACTTCTGCAAACCCAGTTTCCTCTATGTTCTGAAGCTCTTTAATGGATGTTTTTGGTATCATGTATGGGCCTTTCATGTCTTTGATAGTGGAGCAAACGGAGGAGGAGGCTGCCTGCTCCCTACATGGCATCTCACTTTCATGCGTGATTGCCTTTAGAATCAAGTCATCTAAATGTGACAGTTTGTAAATAAGAGTTTAAGGCTTACCTGTAGTGGCAGTTCTTCTTACAAAGGTTGGTCCCAGTCAGTAACTGATACATCAGTCAGTTACCCCCAGTTCTGAGATGGGATCAGAAGAGATGGGATCAGTCTGAAGTGTTTAGATTGAATGTTTTGAAACTCTTCCTCTTGAACTTGATTCCAGAGCATGCAGAGAACTGGGTAGGGCACCTGCTCGTGTCCCCAAGATTATCTTTGAGAACACCTGAGTGATGGATTGGTTCTGAAAGGCAGAGAAGGGCAAAGAAGTCGAGGACTTAGCAACTATAAAGCTTAATGGTTTTTCTTACATAAATTCAGAAACCACTTGTAAGCATCTAACAAGAAGATAAAGTAACAGTTGGCAAAAACTGGTTAGGAACAAATGACATCGAGCCAGTGTGTTTTTCTTTGAGATCAACGTGATCTTGTTAGCATTTATTTCATGTGTTGGTTGTCGAAAGGACTTCTTATGAAGCTCACATCTGTGTAGGACAGGAAGCAACGCGTGTTTCTGTTTCTTCTGTTTGTGGAATTTTTTGTTTTACTTTTTTTAATGCAATAGAAAAAATTGTGAGAGACACTGGGGAAAGCCATCAATTGGGATGGCAAAGCACTGGCACGGGTTTTTACTTTGTATTTTACATTTCTGGGGTGGGATTTCTCCAGCTTTTCCTTGGCAAACCTTATCAGAACAGACACAGAAACCGAACCTGATGTGGAAGACCAACGTTTGTCCACTTCTACTTTTGTATGATTTCACTGATGCATTACTTCTTCAGTTCAAAACAATTCCTCAGGTTCATTTCATTTAAAGGAGTTTTTAAGGCAATAATCTCCCCAACGTTTATCAGCTGTCAGTGGAAAGAATTAATTGAGCTTTTCTTTTATACCTCACTCAGATTCCTGGTAGCTTTAAGCTAGTTAAGCCTTAAGTCCCTATTAATCTCCCAGCTTCACATGGGAGAAGTTCTATTACTGCTTTCCTCACGATGTTTTCTCATATGTAGCTTTCCATTTTACTTCACAGTTTATGTTTTCCCAATGAATGATTTCATGCAGCTCCTCTCTTTGGGATGCCAGCAGTCGTAGGATCACCAGCGTTGGAAAGGACCTCTAAGACACCGAGTCCAGGCACCAAGCCATCAGCACCAGGCCCGCTGCTCCCCGGGGGTTCCATGGTGCTCGTTGGCAGCCAGCTGATTTGTGACTTGATTCTGAGCTTTCTTTATCACAAATTCAAATTGAACGTGTCTAAATAAAGATGGGATCTTACAGTCAGATCTACTCTCAGTCTTACAAAGGCGAGAGGGGATGGGTTTGTGCACGTCCGTGTGCTGACAATGATTTCATCTGGGAACCTTGATCTCCAGAGGCCTTTGCCTTGCCTGGGCTTCCATGTTCCTGCCTTGAGGCCACTGCCTGCTCCTGTCTTCACACGTCCTGTTCAGGCCCGTGCTCCTGGAGATGGAGCAATCACAGTGCAGCACGATTCTTGTTGGTTCTTGGGTACCTGACTGCCAGGATAAATGGGGTTTGCTCCATATTTCATCTGAGTGAGACTTGGCTGGATGCTTCTCAGTTAGAAAACAGCAGTACAATGATTAATGGAGACTTGGAGAGTTGTGCTGAGGGATTCATAATGCAGATGTGGAAGATGTGATCCTAGATACAGCGTTGGCTTGTATATGAATAATTCTGTTCTCCACGTGTTCAACCCCTGAAGGCTTTTGAGGATGCTTCTAGATGGAGGCACTGCACACAATATCCTGTGTGATGAAGAGCACCCAGCAGGACAGAGGTTTCTGCATCAGCTTTCTCACCTGGCTCTTCTGCTTTGCTCTTGCTGCCCTCACTCCTCCGTGGGCCTGAGTATTTGGAAGGAAAGTGCTTGATATTTAGTGAGGATGAGATGTTGATAAAATGTGGTGAGTGAGCTGATTTTTGACATGTAACCAAAACCAGGAGTGTGACACCCAATGAACTGAAAGGAGCCATCAGCAGCCAGCAGGGTGATGCTGAGTGCACCTCTGCACGACTGTGGGAAGGATCCCTTGGCACAGCTTTTGTGACACTTAATGCCCACTCAGTGCTCTGGTCAGGATCTGGCTTCTAGATTGCACTCCCACAAAGGCTTTTTTGATGAGAAAAATCTGATAAGTTTCTTTCTGTTGACAGGTCCAGAAATGCTGAGACAGTATTTAAGTACATGTGTCTGGATCTAAGAGTTGAGTTCCTTGAGCCTAGCTCAGCTTCTCTGGCCACGTTGGCAGCGCTGTGCTTTGAGGTACTGATTCAGCTTATAAAAACCATTAGACCTCCCTGGGACTGCTGTGCAAGCAACTGGATCTGTGGTCTGTGTGCTGGGCTGCTGGCTGCCTCCTGTGCACTGAGGGGACGCACAGCTTTTGGATTGAAGGACTTGTTTTGTTAAATCATCGCCCACAGGTGGAAGACCCCAAAGAATCTTTGGGCATTTTGGTTAAAAAATCTGGGCATTTTGGTTAAAACACTGTGAGTGAGCATCTTTTTCCTACAGGCTGGGCACCAGCCCATGCCTTATCTGCTTACAGAGGCAGAATGGAAGCCTTGAGCCCGTAACAGTAAAGCTGCTGTGACTTACTCAGATCAAACTACCTGTTACTTTGAAGAAAATTCCTCGTCCCTAGCTTTGGTGCAAAGATTGCACTGTTCAAACATCTCCATCTGGCAGAGGATCAGATGTCCACGCTGGTATTATTAGATCTGTCAGCTGCTTCCAGCTGGGCAGGAATGGAGCTTCACCGGAGTATCCAAACAAGATTAGAAAGTAGATAAGTCAGATGTCAGGGCTGTCATGCAGATTGAGTTGGAAGAGAAACTGGAGGAGACTGTATTGATGTCTGGCAATCATGTCAGCGGCCCCGTGCTGCTGTTTCTGGCTTTTGACAAGCTGTTCCTGCAGTTTTCTTGGGTTTTCTTTTCATTCTGCTGAGGGATGCACAGTGCAGCACTTTGCTTACTGGTCAGAAGCATAATGGGAACACCTAAGTGTAATGTCCAGGTCTAAGCCAAAGCACCAGCCAAGTTCTGAGCACGAGCTCTGCATTCTCACAGCTGTCTTTGGGCCTGGCTGTTCAGCTGCTGGTGTCACTGCCCTTATTCACTGCTATCTCCATGGATGGCCAGTAGAAATTGTGTTGGCTCGTAGATAGAAATGTGGCTGTATCATCTGTAACAGTCCTCCATCATCACGTGTAAACGTGTCCAGGTGTGATTCTTTGCTCAGTTTGTCTCATGACCAGTTCTTTAACCTATTTGGCTGTGTGGCATCTCGAAAGGTGAACTTTTTAAGCAAAGTGCTTTATGCCTTACCTAAATTGCTCTGGGCAGCCTGATCTGGTGAGTGAAGGACCCTGCCTGTTGCAGGGGGGTTGAAATTTTGATCATTGAGGTCCTTTTCAACCCAGGCCATTATGAAATCATCGAATCGTTCAGGTTGGAAAAGGGCTCCAGGTCCAACCATCAGCCCATCCCCACCGTGACCACTAAACCACGTCCCTAAATTGACTCATGGAATCATTAAGGTTGGAAAAGACCCTAAGAAATCTGCTCCAATCACCCACCTACCACCACCGTGCCCACTGGACTAAACTAAATCATGCTCAGTTTTCTCAACAAAAGTCATAGAATCTTCATGAGCAGATGTTGAGTTGGATCCACAAGTTCTGCTTTCCAGAAGCCTAGCTTAATGGACATTAATTGCCTGTCCTTTCCATGGGGGACCCTGTGAGCCCCAGCCAATCTTTTATTTCCCTGCCAGGTCTGTTATTGTCAGGTTGTCTTGGTTTTCCTTCCAAGTTCTCATTAAAAGCACTGGGGTCATTTCTTGCATTGTTTATTCTTCAGTGACCTTCCAGCATTTTCTCCCCTCTTCCTTCCACCACATTTTTGAGAGTATGATCAGAATAGAGCTCAGTCTCTTTGTTGTGTAGCTCCACAGCGTTGAACTTTTCAGTGCTATTTTACCGGCAGCTGTTTTGCAGGGTTTCTGTTCTTTGTCAGTGGCCACTTAATCCCTTTTCAGCAAGCACATTCAAAAAGTCCCTTGTCTGCTGTTTCTTTTTTCTTCCAATCTCACCCCCTTTTTACTTCTCACTATGTTCCCTCTGCACAACTTCCCTCTGCATAGCATGGGTCCACGTGGAACAGTGGTCAGAATAGGCCCATGTTCCCTTCCTGGCAGCTTCCAGTGTTGCCCAGCTCTGAGAGGTGAGAACTTATTGAGGTTCCCCAGGGGTGGTCAGCAAATCGAAGCATACCTGAGAAGCACAGCAGTCTGCTCTGTGTGATTTCTTTCTCCATGTCTGGGTTGGTTCTGATTGCACCCCAAGATCTGCCTTGGGAATTTGGTTGCTTAAGCGTACGTTGTGCTTCTGGGAGGACCGGCATCTTTAAGTGGTTTCTGCTGTCTTTCAGGAGAAGAAGTTGCCCTGTACTGTGCCAAGTATCTTCCCGAGATCATCAAGGATCAGAAGGCCTATAAGGAAGGCAAATTGCAAAAGGTATGAGTGAAGCACTGCCCTGGAACAGGCTTGAATACCAGTGCAGTAGAAAGCCCTTGTTTGTTACCTAGGGCTTACACAGTGCCCCCTCCCTCCAGGATCTGTCTGCCCCACCTTTCTCTATTGTAATTCTCTCTGGTGGTGCTGATCTGGCATTGGGTATCCCCAGGGTTGGTACTGGGATCTGGTTTGGACCAGATGGACCCAGAGATACTGCCTGCCTTGAGCAGTTCAGTCTCCACTTCTGTGTGGTGTGTTCTGGAAGAGGTTTGATCACAGCAGGTGTCCTATAGGGATGATGAAACTGTGTGTCCTGATTATGTCTGTGTTCATATTTAGGCCCTGGAAGATGCTTTCTTAGCCATAGATGCCAAGCTCACCACTGAGGAGGTGATTAAAGAGCTCTCTCAGATGGCTGGGCGACCCCAAGATGATGAAGATGAGAAAGAGAAAGTTGCTGATGAAGATGATGGTAAGTCAGATGCTACTGACAAGATAAGACTGCAGCTCCAGGCCAGGCACTGAGCAGCTGGACCAGGTCTCCGTTAGCAGAAGGTTTGCTTGTCCAAATCACCCAGTTCAGTTTCAGGTGAAGCTGCCACCTCTCTCCGTTGCTTTGAGCTGATTCTAGGAGAATGCTGATTCATCTGGTAGCTTAATCCTCTGGACAGCAAACCAACCTGTAGCAGTTTTCCATAGGATATCCTCCATGTGCAGACTTCTAGGATGTGGCAGAAATCATTGAGCTGGGAAGTGGGCTAAGCTGTAAAAGTGAAATGTGTGGTGCTTATCTCTGCCAGGCCGCTGTCAGACAACCTGTAGGCAGGACTGAATGAGATTCTTGTCTCTTTTCAGCAATTCTTTCTTGCCAAGAAGTGAGTGTGCTTTTCTGTGAGCAAGTAGTTGCCAGATCATGAAGCCAGCTTAGAAGATGGATCCTAGGGTAGAATCCTGCGCTGCTCTTGGCTGAACAGCTTGTGTCTAGCCTTCAAGCAGATGTAAAGGGATGCTGTCACCCTGAGCAGTGTGTTGATCTGTCATTGCTGAGTTTGTTAGCCCTCATTCTCCAGCCAACAAAGGGTTTTGTTGTTATTGGGTTTGGTTTTTTTTCTTTTTTATCCTGTATTTTTCTGAAGCATTTGGGATATGGCTTTCTTTTCATTTTGACTTTAAGTAGCAAAGAGAAGGATAACCAAGGGGTTGTCAGCAGGGAAATGATGAAGGTTATCTGATACCAGTGGAGTTTCTGGTCCTGGGCTCCCAGTTCGGGAAAAGCCATCCTATTTTCTGTCTAGCGTCCTTCATACCTAAAGCTACTTTATGATCTCATTTTAAACGTCTAGATCCCAAATGCTTGGGATCTCTGTGCATAAGCCCTGTGGAGCAACTGCTGTAACAAAAACTTATTCCCAGTCGTCGAAGTGTTAATGAGCAAATCTGCACATGAAAGCGGTCTGTCTGCTTTCCCCCACAGCTTCATTGGAGCTCACTCTGGTGTAATACGAGGCTCTTTACCCCCCAACCTTTACATGTAATTTAAACACTTCTGTGCTGCCTACAAGCCAGCCAGATAGCATCAGCAGCCTGAGGCGCCGCGATAACTTGCAGACTGCTTGCCTGAGCCGTGGGCAGGAGCCCTTCCCCTGCCATCTGCATATTGTTCATCTGCAGTGCCTGGAAGCAGTGGGACGGTGCAGGCCTGGCTGCATTCGTCTGTGCCTGCTGGTGAGCAGCAAGCATGCTGAGCATTGCTGAAACACGTCTGCAAATGGCAACCTCCAGTCGCGGCACCTCGCTGCTGAGCACAGTGTGTTGCACAGCTGCTGCTATGGTGATGTGTCCTGCTTTTTGACCCTCTTTGTCCTCACCCCCTCCCCCTTTCCGTTTCTAGTGGATAATGAGGAAGCTGCTCTTCTGCACGAAGAAGCCACAATGACCATTGAGGAACTTCTCACACGTTATGGACAAAACTGCACCAAGAACCTCAAACACAAGTCCTTAGCTCTGGCTGGGGAGAATGCTGCGGAGGGGACAGGCAAGCAGCACGATGGGGAGTCAAATATGAACGGAGAGGCTGAGCCAGGGGACCTTATCGACCACAAGGAGAGGAAGAATGGGAAGCCAGATGAAGAAATCACGGGTATTTCCTCCACCTCAGACAAAGCCAGCACTGGAGGCAACAGCCCTGCTCTGCAGAAGCCTGAACTAGGCAAAGGTGACGAGGCCGTCACCTCTTCTACTGGGGAGGCCGGGCCCTCCTGCTCCTCCACGGGAAAGCCCCAGCGCACAACCAAATCCAAATTTTTTGAGGACAGTGAGGATGAGTCAGATGAGGTTGAGGAAGAGGAGGAAGACAGTGAGGTAGGAAAAAGCACTGGGACAGAGTGGCCTTCTGGCTGGGCAGAATGCATTGCTTGCTGTGGTACTTGAGCGACGAGGCTCATCCTAGGTGTGCCCTAGGAGTAGGTTTTTCAGGCTGATACTACGAGGCCATCTCATTGGGGATTGTGTAGATAATTCTGAGGGCACCATACCCTCACCTGCACAGCAGCCATAGTGGATACTCATCGGTCTTGCTGCATGCACCATCCCTCCATTCACTGTGGTAGTTGAAACTAGCTGCTCTGTTCGTAGACATCAGGTTTGGGGAACGCCGACCAGGTCATTTCACTCTTCTGGGGCAAAGTGATCCTCTGTCCCTGGGGTGGAGAGACCAGGTGTCTGGGGAGGGCACTGAGGGTGTCCTGCGTGACTCCTGGTGGTATCTCTTGTTTCTTGTAGGAATGCAGTGAAGATGAGGATGGTTACAGTAGCGAAGAGGCAGAGAATGAAGATGATGAAGATGACACTGAAGAAGCCGAGGAAGATGAGGATGAAGAGGAGGAAATGTTGTTACCAGGCATGGAGGGGAAAGAGGAGGTGCACACCTTGTTCCTGTGTTCTGCAGCATAGCGTGGAGCCAAGGGCACGTGGCAAGGGGTGGGGGGAGGGGATGAGGCTCAGCAGGGGGCTTTCCATTCAGCTAAGAATATTCCTTCTGTTTTCCCGAGGCTGAACACAGCTACTGACAGCCTGACTCAAGGCAAAAGATGGAGGGGTAGAGCATATATCTGGGCACCAGGCTGAGACTTCACTGCAGGGTTTGCTGTGCTTAGAAATGCTGTGGGAGCTGGCATGGGAGGGGCACGTGTGACATTAGCAGGACAGCTGCTCCTGGGCAGAGCATTGCCCTTGGCCAGGCCAAGGCTGTGGCTCCTCAGCCCATGGCAGATGGCCAGGGACCCAGGATCTCAAGGAAAGGGAGTAACAGCTTCCAAGGTGCCAACTTTTCTCTCTTTGGGGAGGTATCCTGGCTTGCTGCGAGTCTCCTGCTTGAGTTGGGCGGGAGCTGGAACTGCTGCATTAGAGTTGAGGGCACAGCAGGATGTGTTGAACACTGGAAAATCACGGGCAGTTGTGATGCAGTGGAGGGGTGGTTTGATCGTGCCTCTGAGTGAACACACGACTGCCATTTTTCATTCTTCTTTCATTTTCTCCATTGCTCTGTGTGCTTATGGGAAGAAGGATCGAGATGAGTTTGGGGCAGAGCTGAGCCCGTGGTGGTTAGTGCTCCTTATCATCTGATCTACAGCAATAGGAAGAAGCCTGAGCAAAAATGTTTTTCTTGCAGCCTGGCTCTGACAGTGGGACGACTGCTGTCGTGGCCCTCATCCGAGGCAAGCAGCTGATTGTGGCTAATGCTGGAGACTCTCGCTGCGTGGTGTCAGAAGGTGGCAAAGCTGTCGACATGTCATATGACCACAAGCCAGAGGATGAGGTGGAACTGGCCAGGATAAAGAATGCCGGCGGCAAGGTCACCATGGATGGGAGAGTGAATGGTGGCCTCAACCTCTCCAGGGCAATTGGTGAGCAGAACTGGGGGTGGACAGTGGTGTGCCTGGCCTCAGCACATCCGTGCTTCCAGCACTTGCCAGCCACTAAGTTTAAGGAACAGTTTTCAATTTGATGATGTTTAGAATCTGTTTGGTATTTCATCTGGTGAGATTTCAGCCTAATGAGAGAAAACAGCCATGAAACTGGCAGTGGAGAGTATGCCCAGCCCCTGCCAGGCTGTGGCACAGGATGCAGTGTGTGAGGCCTTCAGGGCTTTTGTGCCTGCAGCTGTGCTGTCAGGAAACCACCCTGCATAATAAACTATCTCAAAAAAAAAAAAGACTTTCCAATAGGAAAGATTTTCTCTTTTCTGTTGCTTGTTAGGATGCTGTTGAAGTATCTTGGTGTGTTGCTTACTACAGACCTAACTTCCTACCAGTTTGAGCCCATTTGTTCTTGAGCCAGGCTTGTCTTTTAATTGTATGAGCTCCATTCCCCTTGTGCAGCGCTTCAGGCAGCACCTGACTGCTGTTTCCTCTCATCCTTTGGTCTCTTACAAGTAATGTGGGAGTCATTAATAACTGAGGAGATCTGGCATGTCTGGTAGCAGCCCAACAGTCTGAGCAGATGAGAAGCTTGGAGGCATTAGGGGAAGGGTAGGCAGTGACACTGACAATATACTAGGAAATGCACAGAGAAGGGAGAGAAATGTCAGCAGGCAAGGGTTGAAGTGAAGAGTTCTTGTGTGGAAAGACCCAAACCACAGAAATGATCACCTAGGGGTAAAGAGATGAAAACACACGTAGGGTGAAATCTAGGGGTCTGTTTATCTAAGGAAACTATTTCCTACTGTTCTGTGCTTGCTGTAGAAGTGTACTCCTGCAGTGTAATGCCAGATAAGCCCCTTAGTCAGAGCTGAGGATTGATTTTTCTCAAGTGAGCTTTAGCTTACTGAGGGTTGAGAAGATCCAGCAGTGCAATGTGGGCTGTCAGGTCGGGCATTGTACTGTCCTATCTAGCCATGAGTTTAGGGCTGGGCAGTGTTCCTCATTGCTCAGGGGTAGGCAGGGTTGCCAGTACCCAGCAGCTGCACAAATTGATCCTCCTCTCCCCTACAGGTGATCACTTCTACAAGCGGAACAAGAATCTGCCTCCAGAGGAACAGATGATCTCTGCCTTGCCTGACATCAAAGTGCTGACAATAAATGATGACCATGACTTCATGGTCATTGCCTGTGATGGAATCTGGTAGGTAGTGAGGGAGCAGTTGTTCCTCTTTGGCCATCACTGCCCTGATCTCTCTTGGGGCAGTGTGGTACGACTGCTCCCTTAGCTAATAACCCTTCTGACCTTCCCATTCTGCAGGAACGTGATGAGCAGCCAGGAAGTGGTGGATTTCATCCAGTCCAAGATCACCCAAAAGGATGAGAACGGAGTCCTGAGGCCGCTCTCCTCCATTGTAGAAGAGGTAAGGTCCAAAGCTCACCCCATCAGTCTCTCCACCGTCCTGTCAGCACACAGTGATTCTGCACCCCAGCTCCATCAGGCCTTGTTCAGAGCTTAAGGGATCTGGCAGACGTAGGTCGCAGTGCCGGCTGTTACAGGAGCAGAGTTGTGTCTGAATTAGGGGCCACTTCCTTTGGCGCCTTGATTAATGCCTTTGACCCCTGAGTTACTGTCAAGCCAAGGGAGTTTCTGTCCACTTTCAGGAAGCCAGGGGTGCCGAGGGCTGGTTCTGTCCCTTGTCTGGCTGTAAACACCTGAGCTCAGCCCGTGATATTCTGGGCTGGCAGCCCCTACCTGCACTGCTATCAGAGGGGGCCCAGTGTGTCAGAATATTCAAAGTGCTGTGTGTCTGCTGTCTGCTAACCTGTCCCATCCTTTCTCAGCTGCTGGATCAGTGTTTGGCTCCAGACACCTCAGGGGACGGCACTGGCTGCGATAACATGACCTGCATCATTATCAGTTTTAAACCCCGCAATACACACCCACCTGCTGACAGTGGGAAGAGGAAACTGGAGGATGTGGCAGCACAGGCAGCACCAGCAGAGGAGAACGGCAGCGATAAGAAGAAGGCCAAGCTGGAATAGCAAGCCTCGCACAGGGACTGTGCTGTGCGCTCACCAGACTCTCGTTTCTTAAACATGCTGAACTCAAGACTCCAAAGTCTTGTCCTTTTTTTAGCCTTAGCAGAGGCCTTGTTTGTCCGTGTCCTGGTTGGGGGGTTGGGGGGCGGGTCTGGTTAGCAAGGGCATGTGGCACTGTTCATCTGTAACCATTCCAAAGAGCGAGCCAAGGGCAGAGCTGCACGCGGGAGCAGCCGGCGGCCGCGGCGTGGGAGCCCACCATCGGTGGCAACCTCTTAGCACAGAGCCCTGTGGTTAGAAGGATGTCCCCCCCATTGTCTCCATGTGGTTGTTGCCATTTCTGTGCCTGTGACTTTCTGTTCGGAGGGAAAGAACTTTTTCACTGTTGAGGTTTTTTAAATCTGCACCCAATTATTTAAGGCCCTTTCTGTTTTTATTTGTGAAACAATCCGGCTGTGGTGCTGCCGCCACACCTCATTCTGTTGTACACTTTCAATCAATACTTTTTTCAAACTAAAAGCCCGGAAAACATAGTTGTACTTCTGGTCATTGGTCCTTTCCTGGAAGTGGCGGGCGAGGAAGGTGGGAAGGGAGGAGAGAACATCTCTTTCCCTGTGTCTCAGGGCACCGTGAGGGTTTCTGGGTTGTGGACAGCTTTATATGGCTTTTGTCAATACTGCCACTGCTTCTGTGGGATGAACTCTGCTGTTCCATGCTGCTGTGTCCCTTCACCTTGCACCCATGCTTCACCAGCCCAGAGATCTTCGTGACAAGGCAAGCCCGTTCCCAAGTGGCCCTGACCCCAAGTCCCTCTGCTACGTGCTCAGTAATGACGTGTCCAGAGCTGGAGCTGCTTTTGTCCCCCCCCCATGCTCCTCCTGCAGTGAGACCCTCACAGGAGGGTCATTTTTCAATTTAGGTTCTGGTTATTAAAGAGACTCCACAGAGTCTGTTTGGCAGTGATCTCACATTGGAAATTTGCATTGAGATGTAACTGGTTTTAGAGCACTTACTGCGTGCTTCCGATGTTTTATCTTGAGAACTTTGAATCAAAATGCTTGTGGTATGTCATGTGCCATATCCAAGGCCTTTGGCTCTAATAATGAGTCTGCTATCAGGATAAAATCAGTTTTGCTAAGGCTGACTAGGGGTCAAAAGCACAGAACACAAAGTAACAGGCACCACACAGCCTGTGCCTGTTGTCCGTTGGCTGTGGCATGGCCCAGCCACCCTAATCCCTGCCCGGCCTCAGAGGGCACCACAGATCAGAGCCTGCTGTGACTCTTGGAGTGTTTTATTTCTCAGCAGTGCCAATGCTCAAGCCTGCCTTCGGGGAAGAGGTGTGACAGGATGGATACAACAGGGAGCAGGCAGTGCTGAGTGTGGGGTGAGGGTCTGCCGAGTCTGGGGATGGCCAGATCCAGGCCCTAGGGCTGCTGATGCCACGTGGATGGCATCCAGGGCTGCCAAAGGAAGGCGTGGGCTCTTCACGTTGATAGGAGCTGAAGTGGGTGCTCTGCGGCTCATGATTCTCCCAGCTGCTCTGTCCTCTTCACTCCACTGGGACACCTGTGACGCTGCACTTGTCGCTGGTGCCCTCCAGGGAGTCCCCTGAGAGAGACTGCCCTGACTGTGGGCTGCACAGGCTTTGCTCTCGGCTGGGATGCGGCACTGATTCAATCGCCACTTCCACCTCGATGTTGATGCCTTCCCTGCAGACAAACACATTAGGGCAGCAGCCCAACAGGAGGATGCTGCTGAGTCCCCATCCAGCAGTGCAGCAAGCACGGGGAAGGCTGTTAGGAAAGGGGACTTGCCATGCCACCCTCCCTTGTCCCCAGGTCTCCTTCAGCTCACCGGTAGGACGTATCACTCAGCGTGCTGCCTGCGAGGGCCACGGTGCTGGCTGAGTGGCTGTCCTGCTCCTTCCACATCACCCTGGGGTGTGGGCTGTGGCTGCTGCTGGGGAAAGAGGTGGCTGGGTCTGCGACTCCGTCCTCAACGCCCTTGGGGCTGGGCAGCACTGACCACAGCTCGTTCACTAGCAGAGAGAGAGATGGTGCTGAACGCCCTGTGCATGAGCAACACTTCAACATCAGGTGCAGAACAGCAGGGAGGTATGTGAACCGGACCCAGGCTGTGAGTGCTCTGCACAGCACCCACAGCCCCCCAGGACATCGACCTGCAACCTCCCCGCTGCCCCAGGCCAACAGGAAGCCCCAGGCCATGGAGCTGTCACAGCTGCAGGATCACAGCCCGTGCAGCACCACGCAGGGGTCCCCACTGGGGGACAGCAGGCAGTGCAGGACTCACGCTTGGTCAAGTTCTCCAGCTCTACCACACCGAGGTCCCCAGGTTGGCTGCGGCCACAGCTACTGCGGCTCCGGCACAGAGACAGCACTACCACCCCATAGACATAGGTGAGCATCAGGGGCACGCCAATGCCTGTGGGCAGAAACAAAGCTACTGCCAGCCTGCATTGGCAGCCCCCACCCCTTCCAAAGGTCCACTGCTACAGGTCTCTGACATCCCCCTAAAGCTGCTCCATCAGTGGCCCCGTGCCACCAGCCCCTAGATGCACTTACCCACCGTGACAGCTGTTATGATGGGGGACACAAAGAGAGAGAGGAGGACGCCGCTGGTGACAGAGAAGCACTGCTGGCAAGGTGACAAGCTGCTCCTTCGGCTCTGGCCCAGCACCTGGAGAAGAAGCAAGACAGGTGAATCACCTCTGGGGTTTCTCTGGTCTACATGCCCCTCAGGCCAGGGGCTGTCAGTCTCAATACAGAGCGAGACTGCAGAGACCCCAGGACCAGTACCTTCCTACCCGTGTAGATGGGAAGGCCAATGATAATGACAGGCACAGCAATGCCTGCGACGAGGGAGATCACCATAGGTGCCCCCAGCACCATGCCCAGCTGCCACAGGATCTTCCGGGTCCTTGACCAGGGCTTTTTACCCCAGAAGGTGCATCCAGATGGGCTGCAAGGACAGCACGAGGCTGGGCCAACAGCACATGCACAGGGGCAGGCAGACAATGGCACCCGTTGCACTCCAGAGCAGCAAAAAACCCCCACCCCACCCCACCATGGACCCCTGACAAACCCTGCAGCAGTGCTACACCCCTGCTACCTATCAGAACGTGGCTGTGGCTCTCTGCAGGACCCCAGTGCCCCCACAACTCCTGATGGCACCCTCAAGTCCCATCACAACCCGCAGCCCCACACTGACCTCAGGAAGTGCACGTCAGAGATCTCCTGCAGGCAGAGCCAGCAGAACAGGCAGCCGCACACCGTGCAGTTCATGCGGTTGCAGCTCCCATCATTGATCTTCATAATGAAGGCACTGCAGCGGGGACAAACCTTGATGTCTTCAGCCTCAGCTGGCAGGGAGAAGGCAGATGAACTGGGATTGAGGAGAGGACATGACACTGCAGCTCTCCCCCAGCCCCTGCCATAGGGCTGCAGCCCACCCTGCGGGTGTCTGGGTGAGCTGGGCACTGCCAGCACAACAAGGTCCTCCTAATCCACTACCCCAGCCCAGGTGCTGCACACCTCCACAAACAGGCAGAAGGGTACCACTGGGCCATGGCAGGAAGAGCAATTCCCTCAGATGTGTCAAATCCCCACATTCCCATCCTGGATGAGGTCTCACCATTAGCAGACTCCTCTGTGTAAACCAGCTGTGCAGAGGGGCTGGCTAGGCTGGAGGCCAGCGGCGCTGCTGCACATGGCCCATCAGGGTGCCACAGCTGCCGGCAGTGGTAGCAGAACTCGGTGCCACAGCCCTCACGTCCACAGGTGAGGCGAGGACACTCAGCAAAGCCATAGGCAATGACAGCATAGCTGTGGGGAGAAAGGTAGTTTGCTGGGGCCAGCTGTGTCCGTGGCCTCCCCCTGCATCCCAGCCTGGCAGCCGGGCCGTGCATCAAGAGGTCCCAGCTCTGTGCTGGGACAGAGCAGCAGCCAGCATTCAAGAGCCAGGTGCCACTCTTGTCAGCTTGGTGACTGCAGCAAAGCCTCCCCCACCCAGCACTCACAAAATCCCCCAGGTTCCCCACAGCCAGACCCAGCACAGCCAAGCGCTCCAGCCTTAACCGACGCACACAGCTGCCCAGGTTCTGCAGCCACAATCAAGACATCTCTCCGAACAGACTCAATCAAGTCACAAGCTTGTAAAAGGCTCACAGCATGCAGGCACACCAGCCTGCCAGGAAGCAAGGAAAAGAGATCCACTCCAGGGGCCAGCAGTCACCTGCAGTCCGGTGCGGGACACCAGCGGGTGCCGGGGTCAGCTGCCAGAAGCCTCCTCAGGAGGAACTCCTCGTACTTGTCACGGAGGGCTGGCTCGGGCAGGAGGCTGTGGACGTCGGCAGGCTGCAGCACAGTGGGGCAGTGTGGGCAGGCCACCCTCACGCGGCTCTCGCTGACGGCGATGCGCAGGTACTGCTGCAGGCAGGCCCGGCACGAGCGGTGGGAGCAGGAGGCAAGGCTGGGAAAGGCCTCGGGTGGCTGAGGAAGCAGGCAAAGGGGACACTCCAGCAGCTCCCCATCCTCGCCCAGGGGCAGGGCAATGTGCAGCTCCTCAGGGTCCCCCGGTTCTTGCACCGGGTCCGGTGGCATCTCCCCTGCGGCCTCTGCCTTCTGCCCACAGGAGCCCAGGATGCGCGGGGGCTGAGGCACCCACGTGGGCTGCTCCATGGTGGCACGTCAGGGCAGCAATCTGCTTCTGGCAGGCTATGGAGGACAGTGGGGCGATGGCAGCCCCAGTGCAGCAGCCATGGCAGGGCAGACACGTCCTACCTGGGCCTCGGAGCCGGCGTCTCCACAATCAGTGGTCAAACCATCTCCACCTGCAGCCCACACTGCTCAGCCTGTGAAGGAGGTACATGCGATAAGCAGGGAGTTCCTGGGCGTGGGAAGGAGTTCTCAGCATCTGTGAGACCCCACTAAACTTTGGGCCCAGAAACTGAGCAGTGGTCTGAGTCTCCCTGCCTTGCCAGCCCTGGGAAATCCACAGGGCAGCACTAAAAAGAACAACCGAGGAGGACATGAGAAGGGGACCTGCAGAGCCCCTCTGTCTCCAAACTGGCCAGAAACTGGCACGCATTCTTGCAGGCTAGGTGAATCTCCCCAGTTACAAGCCTTGCAGCACAGAGCCCTCAGCCTCCTCTTCTGTATGTAAAATAGACAACAGAGCTTGGAGACCCAAAAGCCTGTCATGGAGCCAAATCATCAGATGAACAGGGATTGAGAGATGAGGTAAATCTGTCACAGTTTTTTTCCCTTACTTAGAGCTCTCATTAACCTGAAGCCACAACATAAGCCCCCTGACCCCAGGGCCGGTGGATCCACCATTCCCCATGCTCTCCTTCTCTCCAAGAAGTCACACCATATTCTACCATGGTACCACTGTATCCTTCTTGCTTTACTTACTTTAGAATCATAGAATGGCCTGGGTTGCAAAGGCCCACAGTGCTCATCCAGTTCCAACCCCCTGCTGTGTGCAGGTCACCAAGCAGCAGACCAGGC